ATAATTATGAAAAATATTAACATTGTTATATATATATATATATATATATATATATATATCTTATAACTATAATAAAGTTATATGGTTTTGGAAGTAATTATTGTTACAATTATTATCTCTATCCTTATTATTATTATAAAATAACCACAACATCCTTTACTAAAAAAAAAAAAAAAAAAAAAAAAAAAAAAAAGCACAACATTTGAAAAATAAAATCGCTATTTTTTTCTCCTCATAACAAAGGATTACATTTATTTTAAATTTACTCATACAAAATTTGAAATTTTCTTTCTAAATGTAATTATCTTAGTTATTATTTGTATTGTGAAAATTATAATATAGATGAAATACCATTAAGAATAAATCAATGTAATTATGTAAATTTTATCTATAAGTTTATTTGAATATGTACATAATTAGAGATTATATTAACCATACAAAATTTTAATTTTAATTTTAATTGTAATTTTGTATTCTATAAAAATAATAAATATTTGATCGATGGAAGCTCAAAAATATTATTATATTAAACAATTTAAAATATTTTTATTTTTTCTATTTTTTATTTATATTTATAATAACATTATTTTTTCTCGTGCATCGCATATATATATATATATATATATATATATATATATAACGCTAGTATAAATCGTAAAACCCATTGGATGAAATCAATTTGAAGCGGTTGCATGTGGGACCAAGAGGATAGACTTAATCCTCGGCTTCTTGTCATTATTCTTTCGTGGTAGCTCAACGTTTGCACCAGCTGCCTTGTTGTTGTCGTTCTTTAAGCCCGTTATGAGGTTAGCAAATTTCGTCACTTTTCGCCTTCCTTGCAACTTCTACCAACCTTCTGTTCGGTCATGATTTATAGCAGGCAAGTCCGCATTGATAGCTCAACTAGTTATAGAAGTGAAAAAATAGAAAGAATGACCAAAGATTGAGTCTCACCAACAATAGTGTGAGAGTAACCTTTCAAAGTGAGGAAAGTTTCTTGTACTTCTTATATGCAATAAGCAAGGTTTGTGGGAACAACCTTTCAAAGTGAGGGAGGTTTCTTGTACTTCTTATGTGCAATAAGTAAGATTTAGGGTCTAGCCTCTGTAATTTATGTGAATTTAGATTTAACCTTTTGAAAAGAATGATTTATAGCAACAAAATGGACAAATTAAAATCATGATTTCAATCAACCAAAGCTACATACACTTTCTTTACAGACCAATCTTTTATCAGGCATCCACAATTGTGAGTATTTAATTTGTAACCCAATAACATCTAATATATTACTCCGTATTTATCTCCAATATATTGCCTTCTTGTTCTTTTATTATTATTAATTTCATCTATGCTAATTTTGGATAATAGGTAAAGTTATAATAATAATAATTTAAAAATTGGTAGTAAAATCCCCGATATTATTATTGCATCATCAGAATACAGTAGGACTGTAACAAAAATAAAATTAAGAAGTGAAGAAAGTAACCAAATCTTGAGTGACAATTCCAGCCTTGGGATGGGTTGGATTTATCAAGTGAAAACCATGGCCTTCACCTTCAATCTCAAGAATCTCCACTTCTCCCTTCCACGGGCTATTCTTCAACGCCTCGTAGTAAGCCTTGGCCCTCGCCAACAGGAAGTCTTTCTCCGCCACGTGAAACAGCACCTTCTTGCACGGCATCTGCGCCAGCCTCGGATCCGCCGCCGGATTCAGCCGCGGATCGTCGTCGCGGCCGCTGCTACTAGGGCACAGGAACTTGTACAGCTTGTCCTCTTCTTTTCCCCCAAAGAATGGGTGGACTAGGAACACCCCCGACATCTTCCGATCGTCCTTGAAATCCTCGCTATTTCCGGCCCTTATAGCGACGTCGTGGGCTATATTCGCGCCCGCGCTCTCTCCGCCCAGGAAAATGTTGCCGAAATCGGCGTGATTGTTCAGCCATGGCTCCGGCCCTTTCCCGTTGCCGTGAGACATTATCCACTGAAAGGCTAGCCAGGAATCGTCGTAGGCGATCGGGAGAGGGTGCTCTGGTGCTAGCCTGTACTCCACCGACACCGCAACAACCTTAGCCTTCTCGGCGATCGAGCTGATGAAGCTGTGAAAAACCGCTGCCTTAGCGGAACCGATGACGAAAGCGCCGCCGTGAATGTATATCACAAGTGGAAGCTTCTTGTCGGTGTCGGTGAGTTTTGGGAGGAATAGACGGACGGAGACGCCGGTTTCCGGGTGGACAACGACGTCCTTGGACCAGACGGCGGCGTCTGGATCGTCGGAATTGGGAGCACTTTCCGGCCCCCTTAATCTTTCAATGCGACCGTCTTTGTAGAGGGTGAAATACGGGTGCATTTGGAAGGCAATTTCGTCGTTTATGGATGCCATTTTGTGGTTCAGTAAACTCTGATCTGAGGATTGATGAGCATTTCAAGAATTCAAGACTGATGATAGTCTTTTATAAAAGAAAGTCAATGTTTTACATTTTTACCCCACCTAATTTTGGTATTAACTTATTGGGTCCCTATCACATTTACTTGTTTGGTTAATTAATATTAACTCCATATATATTTTTTTTATAAATGTGTGTATAATTATAAATAAATGTATGTATGTCAATACATAAATAATATTAAATAAAAATATATAGTACAATATACACAAGAATATGTATATATTTTTTGGAATAACACGTGTATGTATATTTGATTATATATAAACATATAATAATAATAATAATAATAATTATTATTATTATTATTATTATTATTATTATTATATTATTGTTGTTGTTGTTGTTTTCAAAAAATAAAAATAAAAGTGCTCCCTCCGTCCCATTTTATGTGTCTAGTTCGGTTAACGAAGCTTGACTGAAGTTATTTTTAATTCAATTTTTCATAATATTAAGTTTAGTATTAATATACAAAAAATTATATATTTAGAAACTACACTAAAAGTACCATTAAACACAAAAAATTAAATTTAAAGATAAGTAAAAAAAATAATAAATAAAATAAACAAAGAAAAAATAATTGGTTTGACCAATGAATAGTAAGTAGGACAGTATAAAATGAGACAGATTGAGTAATTATTATTATTATAATGGTTAGTTAACAATGCAAAACTTGAAATATTTGAAGGTAATCTTAGATTACCTAATAAAATTGAGGTAATCAAATTATATTGAAATATTACCACCACATAACATTATGAGGTAATCTTACACTATGTTTGGTTTGTTGAAAAATATTTGAATAAAATGGAATTAAAATTTCATGGAAAATTAATTCCAGATAAAATGGATTCAATTGTTTGGATGGTGAAAAAGAAATTACTGGGAACATGGATTCCATTGTTTGGTTGGGTTTAAAAAGGTAAGGAATAATGAATATAAAGACCAATCTGCCCCTAAAAATATGAATGAATAAATAGGTGCCTATGTAATTTAGAAACTTTCATAAAGGTAAAATGATCCGTCATGTTATCTTTCTTCCCAAGCCTTTGCGGAAAACAAATCCCACCTCTTTGCAAAGAATTCATTTTTCTCAACTTTGAGAAATTCATTTTCTAATTGAAATTGTTCCCCATCCAACCAAACAACATAAAACAACATTTTCCTCCACTTTTATGAAAATATTTTCCATCCAACTAAACACTCACCTTATAACGTGAACCAAACAAGGTAATAGCATTACCATACTCACATTATATAAGTAACCTTATATTACATGAGTCAAACACCTCCTTATTTGGTTTAGGGGAAAGTTTGTCGTTGCTACTTGAATGAATTTGCTAGGTCAAACTCGCACTCTGACCTTAATTTACAACCGGCTCAAATCAAAAATACCAATAGACAACTTACACAGGGAGCTGAATTTGGAACATTGTGATTGCTGGATTGACATTATGTTATATAACTTGAACTGAGGGTATATTTGAAAATATGGAAAATGACTTTCGGAAGTCATTTTTCAAATTTTCCGTTTTTGGGTATTCAATGAAAAAATTCATTTTGATAACCGTAAAAAGTTCAAATTTAATGAAAAACGTCTTTCTGGATTTTTAGTCATAATACATCTTTCAGATTATTTGTTTATCCGTATTTATCTTCTCTCTTATATATTTTTCAAACTAGTTTCCGGATTATTATCATCACCACCACAACCTCCTCCGCCACTTATTATTATTATTATTATTATTATTATTATTATTATTATTATTATTATTATTATTATTATTATTATTATTATTATTGCGTTCATTTTCAAGAAAATGAACCAAATAGAAAAATACAATTTATAAACTTTCAGCCGAACAGAAAGAAATAGTTTTATGACCTTAATGCAAATATTAAAAAATTAAATTATTTTCTGAACAATGAGTCATTTTCTAAAAAAATCATTTTTCATAAATAATTTCAAAATTTACAAATGGACCCTAAATGCATAGAATAATGCTACTATACATTACTTTCTTAATATTCACCTCATTACATTACAATATTTGAATTTTTTTTAATAAACAAATTCATTAATAAGTAACAATTTGTCTTAAACGTGGGTGAAGTCAACTACTTATATTTATTTGAAAAAAATATATTTTATTACCACGTTAAGATGTAAACATTAGGAAGTAAAATTATGATAAAGATAATATTAATTGAGCATTTAAGTAAAGTATAAAGCATAATGTAAAATATAGTATCTAATTAGGAAACAATATTACTTCCTATAATCTTCTCATATTTTGTAAAGTACAGTAAATGTGTCAAGTTGATTACTACTATTTTCAGGATTTCACTTTCTTTTTTTTGCTGAATGGGTCGAATGTCGAAACATTTGGAGAAAATAGAGTAATAAAAGAAATTGATTAATGGAATTCCATATAGTATTAGTATTTGTAGAGGGAAGACTACCCTACGGTTTTCCAGTGGACCCTATACCGACTCCTGTACGAAATTCTCAAAAACCCTAAAAATCCCTAGAAGATGGTTTAAACTTTAAACCCCGCTGGCCGCTGACAAATCAACGGTTCAAGAAACGACATCGCTAAACACCCTACCTAGATCCCTTCTTAAGCCAAATCTCGCAATTCTTCACTTTCTTCTTCTTCTTCTTCTTCTTCTCTGCAGTCTCTACCCTGGTTCGTCGGAGGTCGGACCGGGTGAGGTGCCTCTGCTCTCTCCCTCCCCGGAAGAGATTTACACATTATTATAGTAGAAGGGGTAAATCGGGTATTGAGGAAAAATGAACGGCGGAGATTCGAATCAGCAGCCGCAGCCACAGCAACAGCAGCAACAACAGCAGCAGCAGCAACAGTGGATGGCGATGCAGCAGTACCAGCAGCAGCAACAATGGATGGCAATGCAGTATCCTGCGGCGGCAATGGCGATGCAGCAGCAAATGATGTATGGGCAGCAATACGCGCCGTACTACCAGCAACAGCCCCCGTCGCAGCAGCAGTACCAGCAGCAGAAGCAGTCCCCTCAGATTCATAGCTCCGGGGAAGATAACCGCACCATCTGGATTGGAGACCTCCAGCAATGGATGGACGAAGGTTATCTTCATACTTGCTTTGCTCACGCTGGTGATGTAAGCATATACGTTCCTTCTTTGCTCGTTTTATTATCAGTTTATTCATTAATTCTTATTTCATGCAGATCTTCTTAATTTCACTTTATTATTAGTTTATTACCGACGTGACATCCTAAAACTTGTAAAACAAATATTTCGCCTAAATAAATGTCTGAGTCTTTGTTGGAATTTGAAAACTTTACAAGAAAAAAGAAGTATTATAGTAACTGAATTTACGTACCAATTTGAAGATGAGAGAATGAAAGTAACCTCAACCTGTAGCCTGTGCTTTGCAATCAGCAGTTTGGCTCGTGATTTTGGATTCGATAAACAACTAAAATACTAGTTAGAGATAGACATGATGTAATGAAATAAAAAAATTCTGAGTTAGAGCGATTGTCGAGTATATAGTGTGTTGTTTAGGTTGTAATTGCAAGAAAAAAGGTGCTGCTGTTTAGATCTCATTGCCCCTTGCATTCTTGATTGGTAAATCATTGAAATCATTTTGGATTCAGCCTTGTCAAACTATTTATTATTCTTTGCAAAAAGTGTCAAATAGGCCATTGAACTTCTTGCTTTTGTGTAATTGGGTCACTGAACTTAAAAAGTGTGCAATTGAACCATCAAACAAGCAAAATATGTGCAATTGGGACATTTTTCAAAATTTCCGGTTACTTACATGTATGTACTAAGAGTTGCCTTTTCCTCTATCATATTAGTTGGGAGTAAAGATTGAAATGTTTTTAACTCAAATTGCATTAAAAGAAATTAGAAAAATGTTCTAATTGCACATATTTTACTTGTTTGCACACTTTTAAGTTTAGTGACCCAATTGCACAAAAGCTATAAGTCTAGTGATCTATTTGACACTTTTTCCTTAATTCTTTTTTGCTAGAATTTTGAAACTGCTGACAGAATTTCTTTGGCATTACAAACATTTTGCATTTTCACTAGTAGTTGAAATATACTTTTGTACTCTACACAAAATTATAAATATCAAAGTTCAAAAATGGATCATGCTTCCTAGGAAATGCCTGTATGTAATACTCCTCACATAGGTTGTTACAAAACATGCAGGTTCTTTCTGTTAAGGTCATTCGCAATAAGCAGACTGGTCAATCAGAGAGATATGGATTTGTAGAGTTTAATAGTCACGCTTCTGCAGAGAAAGTGTTGCAGAGCTATAATGGCACTATGATGCCAAATGCTGAACAACCCTTCCGCTTAAATTGGGCAGGATTTAGCACCGGCGAGAAGAGAGCAGCAGCAGCAGATCCTGGTTCTGATTTATCAATATTTGTTGGAGATTTAGCTGCTGAAGTTACTGACACGATATTGTCTGAAACTTTTGCTAGTAGATATTCCTCTGTTAAAGGTGCAAAAGTAGTAGTTGATGCAAATACTGGGCGTTCAAAAGGCTATGGCTTTGTTAGGTTTGGAGATGAGAATGAAAAGTCCCGTGCCATGACTGAAATGAATGGTGTGTATTGTTCTAGCAGGCCTATGCGAGTTGGGGTAGCAACCCCCAAGAAACCATCAACACAACAACAACAACAACAATATGCTTCACAAGGTAAGATTATTTGTATCTTGTTCTGCAAGTTGTATCAAATCCTATTATTCTAAATCACTAATTGGTTTTTAACAATGCCTGAGATACAGAATCAACTATCTGTCTACTGGTGTGGAAATTTTTATTCCTTGCTTACATGCATGAAAATGTTTATATTAATTGGACTATTAGTTGTTATGCTTGGCAGAAAGAGAAAAAAAGGTATGCAAATTTTGTTTCATTATTAAACTTAACATATTGGAAAGGCGCTTCCAAATAGTTCAATATCTCATCACTTGGCTACAAGAGCTCATCTTTGCTTTTACCCTCTCATTTTTCAACTTTTGTATTGACCATTCTATTAATGAAACATGTTTGCTTAGCTGTAGTATTGGCTGGTGGATATGCTTCAAATGGTGCTATGATCCAAGCCTCCCAGTCTGATGTTGATTTATCTAACACAACAGTAAGTCTGGCTTGACATGACAAGTTATTTGTTGGTGATTTAATTATTTAATAACTCTTGCTATTTAGGTATTTGTGGGAGGAATTGACTCTGATGTTACTGATGAAGACCTACGACAGTCATTTTGCCAGTTTGGTGATGTTATCTCAATTAAAATACCTGTTGGGAAGGGATGTGGTTTTGTACAATTTGCAAACAGGTAATCTCCTTGTGCTAAAGTGACATCCCATGAGAAATTTATCTTAGGAGTGCTTTAACTTTGTTTCATGAAAGTACTTTGCCAAATGTGATTTTTTGGGTCATGCATGCTCCATTAAATTTTCTGTAGTATTGTTATTACACTGTCAATTCCAAAGTATACATAATCCGGAGTTTGTTTTTCTTTAGGAGCTCGGCAGAGGATTCAATACAGAAACTAAATGGATCAGTCATTGGCAAGAACACAGTTCGCCTTTCCTGGGGTCGAACCCCAGCAAACAAGCAGCAGGTATTACATTAATATGAGTTAATTAAGCCTGTCATTAGGAAAATATTTTCAGCTTTAGCTGTTTAGTCCCATGCCGGATCATATGACAATTTTGCAGTTGATGTTGGTTCTAATTTCCCACTGTGATTTGTCCTATTGAATGATCAATTTGTGCCCACTCATCTAATGTTGTAGAGTATAGGAAAAGATTCATAGCATGTATCTTTATTTTAAGCAGGAACTGTACTATACTATACTTCCCCAATAGTTTGTTGGAACCTTTTTGCACAAAGGCAGAGTTTCATAATATATTTACGCCTCAAGTAGTGGGTTATACTTGAATTCAGTAGGTGGCTTGGCCCAGTGAGAGTTTAAAGTTTTAAACCCAGACCTCTGGTATATGGGCCTTGGAACCTGACCTCCAACCAACTCAACTGAAGCTTCATTGGTGCTAATGTTAGCACATGAGGTGTTTGGAGATTTTAGGCCTTGATGGCATTGCATATTGCTTGAATTTTTGGTACTATGTCCTCGGGAAAAGTGAAAAAAAATGGAAGAAGATATTTCACAGTTAAACCAAAATGAAAGCGGAATTTCTGATTTTTTTTTTGGAAAGCGGAATTTCTGATTTTTTTTTTGGAAAGCGGAATTTCTGATTTTTAATCTCATTGTTTGCAGGCTAGAGGTGAGGCTAATGGTCAGTGGGGTGGTGCTTATTATGGAAGACAAAGCTATGGTGGATACGGACATTCCATGCCACAAAATCATGATCAAAATATGTATTCTGGTGGCAGTGGGTATGGAGGAGCTGCAAATGGAGATGGGAACCACCACCAGCCCCTAAACTGAACAATATTCATCTCTGTACTATCTGAACAAGTAGACAACAACTTATAGACTTCACCCACCCATCTTTCCCTTCACAATTTCCTTTACATTTGAGATTGAAAGATTGGTATAAATATATATAAATATGTATCATGTCAGAATTTTTGTAGCTGGATTGGATTAAATTAACCTGCATACTTGCTACTTAAACATGGTGGTGTTATTATGATTGCTGATGTTATTCGACTCTCAAATTTTACTAACATATACATTTCTGCTGTGTAGACGTATTTCATCTTGAAGATGCTAACCATCTTTTATTTATTTATTTATTTATTTTTTATGTACAAAAGTAGTGTCTACACTCTGTAAAGGTTTGGCCACTGAGCTTTAAGGTATTATTAGAGATCCATCCATCCATCCACGATAATTATTGCCTAGTTGGAAAGTTTGAGTTTTAGGCGTTGTCGTTTATCCCAGATCCCAGATTCGAGTCTGGTCGACATCATATCAAAGCAATTTGGGTTTTAGTCATTATGAGCCTCCAAGAATTGATACAAAGGCTACAAATGGGCCAATTTCTATTGATAAAAAAAAAAAGATGATGTTTACTAAAGCTGATTGCTAGATGAAAAACGATTCCGTCACCAAGGAACCAAGCAAGGCTATACAACTATCATAAACATAACCGAGATAATAATTAATACTAACACGTTTAAATAAGTTCGAACATAAGACTTGACAATCTGATTGGACTAGAACCTGTCTCAACAAGTCAATTTTTACCTTATTATTATTAAATTCAATGTTTACTGAAGGGATATTTAATTGTAGGATCAAAGTTGCAACAAAATCAATAGTCAATGGACCATTTATGGTCAAATTAAAAGTCGATGAAAATTGGTAAATGTCAATAGTCAAGGGACCATTTATGATACAATTAAAAGTCAGGGATAAAAATTAATAAATATCAATAGTCAAGTGACCATTCTTGAAATTAGCTATTTCACTTTATAAGGTAGACTATGGTTCATGGTATAATGTTTTTTTTTTGAAAATAAATGGTATAATGATTGCTCGCACCAAAAAGTCAAATACCCTTTTTTAAAACCTTATTAACTTTTTCATAATTTTATTATTTTATCTTGGAAAAATTACATTTTTCATTTCTAAATTATAAGGTAATTGTAGAGTTTATCTATACTATACTAGTTAGTTGTGCTCGCTTTTTGTCCTTAAGCTATAATTAATGTTGTAATTTTTGTCATTTTTCTAACATGCAGGTCGTGTCCACTTCTCGTCCCTATGTTATAATTGACGTTGCAAATTTTATTCTTAATGTTTTGTTAGAAATATGATGAAAATTGCAATATTAGTTATATAGCTTAGGGACGATAAGTGAGTATGACCAACAAACAATGACACATCATATAATTACCTTATAACTTAGGAAGAAAAAATGTAAATTTTGCTTTTATCTTGTACTAACATTAATTTTTAGGAAGAAACTCCTACAAAAATGGAGTAAGTTTTACGGAGTAAATTATTGGTGATGGTGTGACAAGATGGATAACTTGTATGACAAGAATAACATGACAAATGTATAATACAGTGATAATAGAGTGAAATATATACTTTAAATTCTAGGTTATTATATTTAATGAAACTATATTGTATATAAAATAAAATTTATTAACAGGTCTTATATTGAGTGTATGTAGTTCAATTAGAATGATATTATAGTTGTATTGTAATAAAAGTAGTGTGTAAATTAAAAAAATAAAAACTGAATATGTCATAAAAATAGGATTAGTTGGATGTAAGGGATGTTATTAAAAGAAAATGCCATCTTTTTGGATGATTATCCACAATAAATTTGCCTTCACTACTAATATGAAACGCTAGCCGTTAACAGCAACAGGCAACAACTCTCTATCCACTCCATTATTCCTCAATCTTTTTCATTTGCTATCAATTCCCACTTTTGAGATTTAAAGCTTTTAGTTTTTTTATATTTGGTATATGTATAAAGTATATATGGGCAGTCTAATCATGACATCATTAGGGAAGAGAACCTATGAATGTACAGCACTGGGAATCTTTAATTTGATTGATTGTGTAGTATTAAAATCATTCAAATATTCAATTCAGACATGTAGAAGATAAGGATATTCTCTGTTCCCAGAGGGAATTAAAATCATTCAATTCAGACACGAAAATTACAAGATTAGCCTCATCAACACACCCACCATCTTTGATCATTGCTATATATCTTTCCACTCATCCCACTGTTGAACCACTGCTAAGACAGTAGTGTACCTTATTCTTCCTTTAATTTTTTCTGTGTTCTCCCTCTGCATTATTCATGGGGAAGAAACAAGATTCATTAATGTCCACAAAATTCCATATGTTGTTTCTCCTTATTATTATGGCAACACATTTGGGATTTGGGCATGGGGTAAATAAAATTGATCAAGCCCGGAGAATAATGTGGTTGCGGCGAGCTAAAATGCAGCAGCTTCATGGCGGCATAACTGATGAGGCATGGAGTGAAATGGAAGAAGAAGAAATGGTGTTTGATGATGTGGGAAGCATGGAGGATGATCTCATCAATGGCGGCCTTCCGGGGCAGCCATCAAACGTGAAGTTCAAGCAGTATGCAGGGTATGTTAATGTGGATAAAACCAATGGGAGAAGCCTTTTCTATTACTTTGCTGAATCTGCTCAAACTCCTCACACTAAACCTCTCATTCTGTGGCTTAATGGAGGTCAGATATATATCTATATCATTGTAAAAATGTAGTAATTGAAGTCTTTTGATTTTCAACAATTTTTATTATTATGTGTTTGATCTGATATGATGAATTGAAGCAGGTCCTGGTTGCTCCTCACTTGGGGTGGGTGCCTTTATAGAGCTTGGGCCTTTCGGCGTTAACCCGGATGGCAAAACCCTTTATTCAAGAAGATTTGCATGGAATAAGGGTATATATATATATATATATATATATATATATATATATATATATATATATATATATATATTATATATAGTTTAGTACTTTCATTATTACCCCTACAAGACCTAAGTTGTCAAACGTAGCTGGTTAAAACCAAGAAGGTCAATAGGATACTCTCATTAAGACTGTAATTATATAGTTAGCAATTAAATAATCTGATCGACTAACTTGGTTGGGGTTACCCTTACTGCAACCTTAAATATCTTGTTAATGGTACACTAATGATCTCATCATTATTAAATGTTTATGTGTGTTGCAGTTGCAAATACATTATTTTTAGAATCACCGGCAGGTGTTGGTTTCTCTTATTCCAACACTTCCTCGGATTATGATATGTCAGGAGACAGGAGAACCGGTAAAATTAAATTTTCTTTTAATTTTTTTTTTCTGATTATGTGATAATCTCTTGCACTAATTAATGGCCTTTATATTCATTTTGTTTTGTTTGAAATATATGGTTGTGTAACAGCGAAGGATGCGTACAAGTTCTTAGTAAATTGGTTCAAGAGATTCCCACATTACAAGACTAGGGACTTTTACATTATAGGAGAAAGCTATGCAGGTAATTAATTAATTAACATATATAATCAGAAGTTTTTCTGCAGTTTTGTACTGTACAGTAGATTCGTTCTTCAGTTATTCTCCTAGTAGTTTGTGCCTTTCTTGGTTTCTGCTAAAGTACCCCCAATTTGCTGGGGAGGGGAGGACCACTCAACATGGATCCTCTGAACCAACTTTGTCACTATTCAAAACAAATGTCTACTTTAATGCAATGGACCTATGATATGTGATTATCTGATCTGTTTAGCAGAAATTAAAATTGATAGCCCAGATAGATAGATGCTCTGATCTTGTATGTTATGGCTGTCACATGCAGGATTTTACATCCCCGAGCTAGCCGATGTAATTGTGAAGAGGAATACAATGCCCGAGACCACACTAAAGATCCCACTAAAGGGAATTATGGTAAAACTTATTAATGCTACGTTGATAAGTAACTCGATCATTAATTACCTCAACATATAAAGTTCATGGTCGTTTTCATATTAATTAGATAGGGAATGGGATAATGAACGATGACACGGATGTGAGGGGCGGGTACGACTATCTTTGGAGCCATGCCCTGATTTCAGATGAAACTCACGACGGGCTGATAGAGCACTGTGTGGTAAATTTCAGCATAAAATGTGAACATTTTGAAAGGGCAGCAGGGATAGAGATTGGAAGCATAGACTTTTACAACATCTATGGGCCCTTGTGTTTGGATTCGGAGAGTTCAAGGAAGGTAAAACGGCGGTTGGGATTCGATCCTTGTGCTGAGGATTATGTTTACAGTTATCTCAATCTTCCTAAGGTGCAAAAAGCCTTGCATGCCAACAACACAAAACTCCCTTACACTTGGGAAGTTTGCAGGTACTATATATACACTTGTGTTTTGATTTGTCATTATATTGTTTTAAGGTTTACAGTAGTTAGTTATATATGTTAGTTTGTTGTTGGTTGTTGAAGTGAGGTGATTACATACTGGAAAGACCGCGCATCAACAATGTTCCCAATATACAGGAGGTTAATAGCATCAGGCCAAAAAATACTTCTGTTTAGGTACGTAATACAATTAAGGTAACTTTATTTCGACCTAGTACGTAGTAATAAGCGTTTGATCCTAAGATGGATACTTATTTTTTGTTTGTGCAGTGGGGACGTGGATTCAGTAGTGCCAGTGACTTCTACCCGGTATTCTGTGGATGCTATGAAGTTGAAAGTGATCAAACCTTGGCATCCATGGGAAGATGACACCAAACAAGTAATTAATATATAAACCTCATTTTTTCAGAACTAATTAACGTACTGAAATTTAACCAAGCATTTTAATTTGATGATATTGTTACGTTGCAGGTGGGTGGATACAAAGTGGTGTACGAGGGCTTAACTTTCGCCACAGTCAGAGGCGCTGGCCATGAAGTCCCACAGTTTACACCTCGTAGAGCTTTGACTTTGCTCAACATGTTTCTCTCCACCAATCACCATTAGAGAGAGAGAGAGAGGAGAAAACAAGAAAAAAAATTATTAAAACCAATTTAAAAATTAATGTATAATAAGGTAACTGTAACGTTAGTAAAACAAGAACATGTCATTTTTTTTTTGTTTTTGTTTTATTGCATGATTTTGAATTGTTTAAAGTTTGTTGAGTTGAATGATACAATTGTAGCTTTGCATCCAAGGTTGCAAAACTCAGCCGCCTAGCCGTCTAGGCGCCCGCCTAGGCGCTAGGCGGCCCCGAGCCTTGGAGTTTTGGCCAAAACTCGGCCGGCCGCTAGGCGGCCTGGGCGGCTGCTAGGCGGCCAAACTCGGCCGTGTCGACCGATTTTGTCCGATTTTGACCATTTTTGACCGATTTTGACCGATGTCGTCTTTCATTAATTATTGATTTTAATATTATTATGACATTATGACTTATAAATTATCATTATTTCATTTATTTAGATGTGTTATTTGAGTGAACGTTGAAAACAACCTCATTAAAATTGTCGAACTACAAGTCTGTTATTATTTTTTTTAATTTTTTTGGTGCCCGCCTAGCGCCGCCTAGAATCCGCCTAGGCGCTGCCCGGCCGCCCGACTAGCACCTAGCGCCTACTGCAACCATGTTTGCATCTATAATTTAATGACGTATTTAACTCTTATTCCTATGGCTAATAAGCATTCCCTACATCGTTGTCAAAAGTAGACTAATGAGGATAAATTTAGAAATATTGAGTGTGTTGATAAGACATTTTAATAACTATATAAAGTGGTCATGAGTTAATAAATTTTAGGTTTTAACTAATATTTACATAAGCTAAGCTTGCATATGACTTTTTGTTAACATAATGGTGTGAGTGAAGTCATGAAAAAGTTAGGTAAATAACGTTGAATTTAATGAGTAAGACTATCAAAGTTCAAAAATATTTAAAATTCTGTTAAAAGTTTACTCTATATTCAATTTTGAGTTAATATCCAAAATAGTCCCTCGACTATGTCGTAATTACCAATTTAGTCATCGACTATCATTCTTACCCAATTAAGTCCTCAACTATACAATTTTTACCCAATTTAGTCCTTTGTCAATTTGACTGTTTGTTGACTGTCAAAAGTGGAAATAAAGTTGTAATTTTACAAGTTTTCTCCTTCCTCCTCATTTAGCAGCGTCAAACCATGTAGCAATAAGCTCCGATTGGGTTCTAAACCTGTCAGCATCGAAGTAGTGGTTATGCATCGGATAACCCATGAATTTGATTTCCAACGATTTTTTGACGATCGAAATCTCATCAGAGTGTATTGTTGCATGGTTTGGCGCTGCTAAATGGAGAGGAAGGAGAAATATTGTAAAATTATAATTTTATCCTGACTTTTGACAGTCAACAAACAATCAAATTAATACAGAGGACTAAATTAGGTAGGAATTGTATAGTTGAGGACTAAATTGGGTAAGAATTGTATAATTGAGGACTTAATTGAGTAAAAGTTACATAGTTGAGGACTTAATTGGGTAAGAATGGTAGTTGAGGACCAAATTGGTAATTATGGCATAGTTAAGGGACCATTTTGGGTATTAACTCTTCAATTTTAAACAAACTATTAAAAATTGAAAATGAATAACGATATTAAATTATTAGAAGTTTATTACCGAAATGGTCCTTCGACTATTACAAAATTACCAATTTGATTCTCAACAATTTTTTTTTACGCAATTAAGTCCTTGACTTTGAAAAATTAAGTCATTAATTTTAAAAATATTAACCATTTTGGTCCTCCATCCATAAAGCCGTTAGATTTAAGGACAAAAAGGTAATTTAACATATTTTATATATTAACGCTTGTCTTCATTGTCTTTCTGTAAAGCGCTGGGAACCACACTCTCCAGCCCTTTCGCCAATGGCTGACCACCTTGCATCCGGTCGCCTTCCAAGAGGAGCTTGGATATTTTAAGAAAATAGAGTATGAGAGGGTTCCAATTGTTATAAACAAGGGCATTCAGTGGATTTTTGCAGATTGGGAATTGACTAGAGGGAGAACTAGAAGTGTGAGTAAGACAAGAGGGAGTGCAGCATGGAACCAACTGAAAAAGAAACAACTAAAGAGAGTGAATGTGGTAGAGGGTGGATCTTTTAATGCCCTAAGCCACATAGATGAGGAAGGAAACCAGATAGATGGTAATGAAAATTTTGTCAGAGATGAGGAAAGTCAAGAAAGGGAGATTTCAGACCAAAAAATAGTGGAGCTTGAATTGGAAAAAGAGGAGGAATGCATGTCTCTCCTGTTGGCACCAGAACAAGGGCTCAGGTAAATCAGAATCTGAACCCAGCTCAGGAGCAAAACCAGAACCCAAGGTCTGCTAAGAGAGGTAAAAAAAGCCTCTCCCAAGAAAAAAAAGATGAAAGTTCTCTCCTGTTGAAATGTGAGGGGGCCCCTCACAGAATAAGGAACTTGGTGAGGGTGTTTAATCCAAAAATTGTTTGTCTGTTGGAACCCTTGAGAGAAACTGCTCAAATAAGAAGCTGTGCTATATCTGTTGGGCTTAATTTTAATAATTGTTATGGAAATGAGAAAATCTGGGTTTTTTGGGCAGCAGACATGTCTGTACAGATGATTGAGGATAAGGGACAAATAATAGTAACTTTGAAAGTGGATTTGGAAGGAGGAAGTGATGGCTATCTCTCCTTTGTCTAACCTAGCTGCAACAGCACTTGTAGTTCCTGCCTATGAATTAGGTTTCCCCAAAAAATATGAAAAAACAGATTAGGAACTATGAATGAATTACCTAATTTGAAATGTGAAAAAATGTGAAACCTAATTCATTACAAAAAATGTGAAAAAACAGATCATTGTATTGGCAACAAAAGGCTCATTCCCAATGGAAAACACTTTGTTTGATAACTTCAGGAATATAAATTTAGAGCGCTGGAAAAAGAAAAATAAAGGCAGATTTTAATCTGCATCCTCAGCCTTGGGTTGCTCGAGGGAAGCCTGAGCATTGGAGAGGGCCTCCAATACTATTGCAGCGTGGTACTGAATATTACCGCACATGAGCTGGGATTCGGGTTCAGATTGGGAGTCCGTCTCTATGTTCATCTGAGAAAACAAATCTTTTATTAAAATTTAAAACAAATTGATAAAATTGAAACTAAAATAAAAATAAATTGTATTATACCTTCTCCAGCTCCTGACTGATATGCTGGAGGGAGTCTTGAGCTTGTGCAATGAAATCCATGCTCTTACCTACTGCTTTATGTAACTTCTCCTTTGAGGCTAAAAGATTAGTGATATGCGCTTCTTTTAAATTCATGATAGTAATCCAACCCTGCATCATCAGTTCCCTTGTCTGCATACCTGCAATATACAAAAAAACAAAAAATCATATATAGATAGAAAAGGAGATTTTATACCTGGTAAGAAGAATCAATAGATTGTGCAACAGAAAAGCTGACTTCGAGACGAGGGCGGAGAGCGAGCTGTAGAAGGGGATGGCGTCATGGCGGAGATTCGGAGAAGGAAGAAAACGGAGTGCTGCGGTTAAGCATTTTGAATTTGAGCCTTTATACTTAGGTTTAGGGACATACGGGCTGGGCTTTAATAACTGGTTTGGTTGGGTGTAGAAATATGTTGGGCCTAATATAAACTCTAAATTATGTATATGTTTTGGGTTTGGATCAGAATATAAAATGTAAATAATTTGGACACTGTAATCGTTATGCTATGGACCCGTGTCCAGTATGCATGCTGGACACGGGGAACAGTGCCGTTAGGCACTGTTATTTCCTTCCTTTTTTTTTCTTTTTTTTTTTTTTAATTCAGACCGCTTCGTTATAGGAGTATATGTTCATAATTTTATTACTATATGTTAATAATTGTACATTCATAACTCCATAACTGTACATTCATAACTCTATAACTGTACATTCATAACTCCATAACTGTACATTCATAACTCCATAATTGTACATTCATAATTTTCGAAGCTCTATGTTCATAATTTTATCACTATATGTTCATAATTGTAAGTTCATAATGTCAGAGCTCTTTGTTCATAATTCGATCAATAACTATACATTCATAATTCCATAACTGTAGATTCATAATCTCATAACTGTACATTCATAACTCCATAACTGTACATTCATAACCTTCGAAGCTCTATATTCACAATTTTAAAGCTCCATGGTCATAATTTTATCACTATATGTTCATAATTGTAAGTTCATAATATTAGAGCTCTGTGTTCATAATTTCATAATTGCATAATTGTACATTCATAACGGCATAACTGTACATTCATAATCCAAAAAAAATAACGCCGTTAACAGCAAAACACGCGCAATTTTTTTTTTAATTAAATGACGCGTTTTTTTAAAAAAACGACGTCGTTTTGGGCCCGTGTCCACAATTCATTGTGGACACGGGTCCAGGGAATAATTTGTAATATTTATTTGGGCAAATTATGCTATGGACCACATGGTGGACACGCTACACATTCATAATTTCTATATGAGTTCATTCCAGTAATGGTCCTCCGACTATGTTGATTTTTCAAAATTAGTCATCGACTTTTAATTTCGACATTTTACGTCCCTTGGCTTTTAATTTCTTTCCAATTGAGGTCCTTTTGTCAGATTACGACAAATTAAACTTTAAATGAAATGGTAAAGTATTTATTTCATCTGCCTAATGTATAATTCTTCGTATTTCTTTTATTTATACGCGACTTCGGACATCAAATTTATGAAGTCGCGTATATAAAGACGAAATATACATTAGACAGATGAAATGACTAATTTACCCTTTCATTTAAAGTTTAATTTGCCGTAATCTGACGAAAAGGACCTAATTGGAAAGAAATTGAATGTCAAGGGACGTAAAATGTCCAAATTAAAAGTCGAGGACTAATTTTGAAAAATCAACATAGTCGGAGGACCATTGCTGGAATTAACTCATATCTATATTGTAGATTCATAATTTTTAAACTGTAGATCCATAATTTTTATACTGTAGATTCATAATTTCTATACTACACATTCATAATTTCTGTATTGTAGATTTATAATTTCTAAATTGTATAATTATCAAATTATGAACACATAGTTATCAAATTATGAATCTACAGTACATAAATTATGAATATGCATTATATAAATTATGAATCTACATTATAAATTTTATGAATCTACAGTATAGAAACTATGAATCTACAATATAGAAATTATGAATCTACAGTACAAAAATTATGAATGTGCAGTATAGAAATTATGAATCTACAATACATAAATTATGAATCTATATTATAAATTTTATGAATTTACAGTATAAAAATTATGAATGTACAACGTGTCCACCGTGTACATGGTGGACATGGGTCCAAAGCATAACTCTCCATTTATTTGTGTTATTTGTATGATGACCTTAATAATATATATAATATAAATAAAAAAGTTATATATATATATATATATATATATATATATATATATGAATGATTATTATATCACATAAAATATATAGATTCATTATTGTAATGGTGTTCAATTTCATCATCAATTATGCAATTTTTATTGAAAATAGTCTTTTGTTCAAACCAATATAGTATTGATTGGGTCATTTTTAGAGCCGTCAAAATGGGCTTAGCTCGCCGGGCTTTCCCGCTCCGCCCCACCAAAAGGGCGGGGCGGGCTCATGGTTTTGAAGCCCGTATTAAAAACGGGCTTTTTTGCCCGCCCCGCCTAGCCCGCCTTTTTTTTTTTTTTTTTTTTTAGTTTTTAAGTTTATATATATATATATATATATATATATATATATATATATATATATATATATATATATATATATATTAAAAATAATATGTATAATATAATAATATAAATAATAGGAATAATTATACTTACCCGGTTACCCCTATTGGTGTCATTGTTGTTATGTTGTGATGAACGAATTTATGTTATTTTCTTATGAATAAGTGTTTTAAGTAGATAGCAATTAAGTTATTAACATAATCACATTAGAGTTTAGATTTTAGAGATACATCACACATGATTTTTTTTAAAAAAAAAAAAAAAAAAAAAAAAGGCGGGCTTTGGCGGGGCCCGCGGGCCTAAGGCGGGGCGGGGCGGGCTGCCCCTACCTAGGCCCGTATTATTGGCGGGCTTTTTAGCCCGCCCCGCCAGCCCGCTTTGACAGCTCTAGTCATTTTGATAAACAATTACATATTTAGAGATGAAATTGAACAAGTTTGAAAGTCAACAATTAAAATAGAGGCATCTTAATAGTCAAGGGACCAAATCGAATATTAACTCTTTATAGATTATTAAGATTTTGCCTATAAATCCTAGTTTTATGAATTATGTTTTGTAGTAAATTCGAAATTTACTTTAGTTTTGTGATTAAGGTTTTTAAGATTTCATACATTTTAACTTGATTTCTTAAAATTTAATTAATAATTCACAAGAATCAATTTTTTTTTTTTTTTTTTTTTTTTTACTTAAGCACTCAAGTTTATTACTATCACAACATGTTCAACAACAACAAATGAACTCTGAATACGATAAATGTCTGAAATGACCACATAACATGGACTACTAGATTGTCCACTAATGATTCCACATAACAGAATCTTTATTCCACAACAGGCAAGTAGATAATATAAAAATACTAATAGAGAAGAAAAACTAGAATCATCTGATTAGAAGTGTTTCTTCTCTCCTTCCTCGTCCTCGTTTTCACTCCAACAGCAGAGCAGGGTTGATCTGGGAGATCCACAACTACCAGTACTAGTGAAGCCACAGTACATAATTGAGCCTCCCTTGCCAAGGGCTTCATAGCTCCTTTCTCCACAGGCATATTCGAACACAGAATCAAGCTTCTCTCCAATGGAGTCACAGTGCAAAGCAACAGAGAATTCAGCAGGTTGGAAGCAGGACAACACTCTCTGGATAAGGGCATCCAAGTTCACATCTTTGAAATCATAACCCATGGCTTCAAAACTTGCATAGCTGAAGCCATCTTCTGGGGTCACATGAATTGTAGAAATTGCGCCACCCTCAACAGCATTCATTGAGTATCCACATGGTTCGAAATCAAAATCACATATATCTGATCCAGGAAGAATTTTCCTAATGCCTGAAGCATCAGTCAACACAGCAGCAGAACTAGATTGTGTCTTGAAAAACACAGATGCACTCTTCTTGTCCAAGCTAGTCATGCACATCTCCAAGGTATAGATGGGAAATGTGTTTTCTGCAGATTCAGCAGATGCAGAGTAAACATGCCATTGCTGCTGTTTTCCAGCATCACCCATCACATAGGCTTTGCTACCTGTGCCGAGTTTACCAAAGTAACCGTCAAGAATGGCAACTTCTTCAGAAAATTACGATGCGGATATGGCTGAACCTCAGGAAAGTTAAAACTCCCACGAGTGTATTTCACAGATTTCACTTTGAGGCTGAGTCCATCCGCCAACTCTAGGATGGGAGGGATAGAGAGTAGGAGCTTTGTAGTGCCACAAGTTTTAATGATAATCTTGTATGGGTACACAAAGAGGCTGGATTCAGAAAGAACATAGGAATCAACTTCATTATTTGATAATGATGAGACAATAGTGCACTCAGCTGGTTTAAGAACTTTGTCCAATTGCTCCTTAGAAAGAGCTCGGAGACCCCGGCCTTCAGGGTCAGAAAATATTCCAGCCTCAAAGAATGAGATCTCAAGCCTCTTTTCATAGCCTTCAAATCCAATTGCAGAGGTTGACAAGGCCATCTTGACTTCAATCAAACACAGAGATGTTTGTGTTGCTCCAAAAGAGAGGTTTTTGTTGTTTCAAAAGAGAAAATGCTTGCTGTTTTAAATTAGAGAATAGCGAGGACGAGTGAAGAAAGAGCAGATGATTTCTTTTAATTTTATAAGTTGTGGTTTTTGCTGTTTTAGTTTAATATTTTGTTCCTAAAATCATCTCTATTTTATGAGGAGCTAATGAACTAACTCTTACTGTTATTAGAAATAGTATACAAAACTGTACCCGATGATATTGTGTCTATGTTCTACCCGACTGGAAAATCCATCTCATATAGTATCTTACTTACCTATGAGAAACAAATAAATGATGTGTCAAGTATCTTGGTAATAAATGACAATATATGTCAAAAATTTTGTGATCTAATGGCATCAAATTGAACTCCCACATAGGAGGTCGTGAGTTCGAGCTTTAGTGGATGTGCTATTGACTTGTTGTGTTTTAGTAGATTATAACTCTGGGTGAAGCTTCAGCTTCAAACGGTCATTGGCTGATAATGTGATGCACGTGATTTGACAATTGTTATACTGTGAACATGTGCGCACAAATTTATATCCATAATTTCGAGATTTTGGGTGAACTAAAATTTATACGGTAGATTCATAATTTTGAGACTTTCGGTGAGCTAAAATTTATACTTTAGATTCATAATTTTAGCTCACCGAGATTCTAGAAATTTATGGACCTACAATATAAAAATTAAGAATATACAATATAGAAATTATAGATATATATTCGTGTGCACCATGTGCATGGTGAGCACGTGGTCACAACATAATTTGCCGTGATTTGGAACGAGGGCCATACCCTTGATCCAATGCATGGTTCACCGTTCACCATGTTCACAAACTCATTCTCGCTCGCGGATAATTCTTTTGGGTCCATAGTCCATACAATATTGCTGAAATTGTCATCCATGGGTAATTTCAAATTTAGGCAAGAGTATTTTCGCCTTTTCATTTTAAAAAAAAAAAAATAAATTTCTTTATGATTTGTTAATTCTAACGGAGTTTTATTGTCGTTAGTGGCAATTTCAAATTTAGTTTTAGACAATCATTTTTGTGATTTAACAACCTAAACTATCATATTTTAGATACTTTGGTCATTTTAATTAGTTTTCACGTGAAATCCTATTTCTAAAAATGACATTTTCATTTCTCCAAAATTTTTTGCGATATTTTTTCCCAATTTTTGTCTCTTCCGCTGTGGATTGCACCATCTCCTTCACCCATATCTTATCTTCATCTCTTTCAACTCGACCCCAAATTGTCCTTCATCATTGGCGATACCGAGTACGTGAGAACCTCTGTGTGCGAAAGAATCATTTTGCAACACAGTTGGAAAGTTCAGGATGTCGCTAGCTACCCAGTAGGCTTCAGTACTACTTTTGTTTTAGTCCATGATTCTGTGAATCATCTATTATAATTGTAGAGAAAAAGAAAGAAAAAAACTTTTTTTTTTTTCATTAGAAAATACCATTTCCTAAAATAGAATTTCACTAGAAAAAGAATCATTAGAAAACCAAACATGTCTGAATGTTAAATAACAAAACAATTATCTGTGGCTAAATTTAGAATTGTCACCAAAGATAAGGGACATCACTGGATTTAACCCTTTTAATTATATTGTAATAATTTGTCGTAGTTAAGTGTTATTGTAAGAGAGTGTAGGTATATATCAACTCATTTCATTGTGAATTACTTTCGGATTTAACCCTTTGACTCTCACTCATTCTAATTTTAGTACTTAACTTTTAAAGCTACTAACTAAATTTAATCTCAAATATTGAATCCTGAGGTGCTAGACTAAGAAAATTAAAACTTTACTTTTCAAGTGTGAAAAAACAATTGAAGCAATGACACTTTAAAATTTTATCCTCAATGTTAACAATTCACACTAAGAAACGCTAATCTTGAATTACAATTGAAAATGATTTAATATTTTTAAAAATTAAATTTGATAACTTTAAAATCAATGACTAAATTTGAAAATAAGTTATAGTTAAAAAAAAAAAAAAAAAAAAAAAAAAAAACTAAATTCAGAATTAACTCTTTTCAAAGGATAGTATTAGGAATGATTGTGCAAAGACCTTCTCTAGTGGGCAGTAACTTAAACCAAATTCCACAATTCGCATACCACAAAATATCTCTAAAATCTACCATACAGATCATGTGAACAGTGGAATCATGTGTTCACCTGAAGCAAAAGAGATGATATTTCGTTTTAGTGGCGATATATAGTGCGCTGCCTGGAATGCAGCAGCCCGCAGTTGATTCACAGGCATGAAATGAACAGAATATGCCTTATGGAAACCATCGAGAACGGCCATTATTGCAATGTTTGCAGGTTTCTCTCGGATTCGTATTTCTTCAACACAAAAACCTGTTTCAGGAAAGCCTTTTGATCAGTACATGCATAAGTGCAATCACCTATGTACTGAAATTATCACCGATGGGCAAAAGTGCAATTGGACCATTAGGTAAAAATCTCTGTGGTTCTTCTCTGCATGTTCTACTGTACATATGATTGCACTCTGGGAATATTTCCATCCGGTTGTCTCAATTCCCGCTAACTCCCTAACACGTGATTTTGACCCATCAGCTCCAACCTGTGACACACAGCACGGCTGTGAACAGCTGAAACACCCAACTGAACTATTAATATAGCTATAGAAGAAATTTCTTAAGCTTGAGATTTACCACCAGCTTTGCATACAAACTATCGCCATTGCTCAACTCCAATCGAGCAGAACCTGCACAAGGTTGTGATACTATGCCAGCGGAAGTTGTCAATGGACTACTTGAATTTACGGTCATTGAGCTTAACTTGGTAGGGTATATTCTCTTTTTAAAATCCATACTATGTCAAATTAAAAACATACAAAATATGCGCTTGTTAAGACATAATGCAGGAAACAGGAAGTTCATTCTACTTATCCAACTAAGGTCTACCGATAAAGGCTCATGCCATTTTTGATAAAACTCAGCTCATTCCACACATCTTACCCTAATTAACCCATTGAAGTTTAACAGATAAAAGAAATAGAGATTTCAAACAAAACAGATTGATTTAGTAACAAAGTGACACATAGTAAAAATGCACTGTACTTACCCTAAAACTTCTTTACCAACATCTCTTCACTGTACCAAGTATATCCCAAACCTACAAGGTTTGGAACCTAAAGCATTAAGAAGATAGTCCTTCACAGAAAAACAACAAGAAATAACCAAAAAAGCACCCCAGCCAAATTGATCATGTTTTTAATTCGCTGCTGAAGGGTCGAGGGCCGCTGCCGCTGCTGGAGGGTCAAGGCCACGGCCGCTGCTGGAAGGTCGAGGGCCACGGCCGCTGCTGGAAGGTCGAGGGCCACGGCCGCTGCTGGAAAGTCGAGGGCCACGGCCGCTGCTGAAAGGTCGGAGGCCACGGCCGCTGCTGAAAATTTGAAGGAGTTGAGGGCTGCTGGAAGGTTTAGTGCGTCTTGGGCGACGCCCTCTGCTAGAAGGAGTAACGTAGACGCCCTCTGCTGGAAGAACGCCCTCTGCTGGAAGAACGCCCTCTGCTGGAAGAACGCCCTCTGCTGGAAGAACGACGCTGCTGGAAGGATGACGCTGCTGGAAGGATGACGCTACTGGAAGGACGCCAACTTCTGCGAATATTTGGGACATAGCATCTCTCAAGGAGGCGAGAGATCCAAACAAAATACCAACCTCGGCCTCAAGCTTTTCAAGCTCGAAGTAGAGTTCTACCAAGTACCTATCTTTCTTAACATACAATTCCCTTAAGTGCCGGAGTTTACTCCTAATTTCTGTCTCAGTAGCCTCAGTAGATAGAAAACCAACATGCTCAGTAGGTTGAAACTTCTGTATCTGAAACTTATTTGAAATTTCATTGCATTTCGTAGTGATCTGTAAAAAAACAAAACAATTTAAATTTTTTTTACAACAATCAAAACTAAATTAAAATTCAAAAAATTCAAAAAAAAAAAAAACAAAAAAACAAAACCTTTGCCTCCTTATAAATTTGTCTCAGGGACTTCATAGCATTAGCAATGACACTAATTGCCTCCCTCAAATCTTGTTTGCTTGCTAATTGCTTGGCAATCATCTCATCTTTCAGCCTAATGGCAGACATATGTAATTCCTGCATCTGCTCTAAGTCTGCCTGTTTTATAATATGAAAGCATTAAACAGTGATACCAATACATAGTTTTGCAAAGAACTTTCACAGTTTAGCTATTTCAACCCAGAATAAAACACACTGCCCATCTTTCCCAATACACAGTGTTGGCAATTATCTCATCTTTCGGCCTAATGGTAGTCATACATACTTCCTGTATCTGCTCTAAGTCTGTCTCTGTTTTATAATATGAAAGCATTAAACAGTGATACCAATACATAGTTTTGCAGCTTTCACAGTTTAGCTATTTCAACCCAGAATAAAACACACTGCCCATCTTTCCCAATACACAGTGTTGGCAATTATCTCATCTTTCAGCCTAATGGTAGTCATACATACTTCCTGTATCTGCTCTAAGTCTGTCTGTTTTGTTTTATAATATGAAAGCATTTTATAATATGAAAGCATTAAACAGTGATACCAATACATAGTTTGAGAACTCTTTCACAGTTTATTTCAACCCAGAATAGAACACTTCCCAATACACAGTTTAGGGTTTACTATAAGCAAAAACAGACTAACTAATAAAAAGATACCAATACATAGTTTGAGAACTCAACCCAGAATAAAACACTTCCCAATACACAGTTTAGGGTTTACTATAAGCAAAAACAGACTAACTAATAAAAAAAATTTGCAAAACTTACCATTATCCGGCGGTGAACAAAGAGGCCGGGGCCAAAAACGTCGCCGCGTCAAATGCACGTCGCTGCGTCCTGCGTCAAATGCCAAAACGTGCTGCGTCAAATGCCCAAATCTTCCACGCCCCAAACTGTCGCCTAAATAAAGAAGGCTAATGGTGTGTTTTTCCACACCATCCGATGTGGGAATCGGATAGGTAAATAGTTAGAGCTCAACGGCCGATGTGGGATGTGTGCGTTTCTAACATCCACCTCCAAAGAAGCCTAATGGTGTGACCATCCGATGTGGGAATCGGATAGGTAAATAAGAGCTCAACGGCTTAATTTCCACTTGTTTTGTCACAAATTCTAGTACCCTTATTTCAGAACATCAATTGAAAACAATAACACAATCATAGTGAAGCAATCACTCTAAAATCTTACTTCCAGTGTAGAGATGGGTAATTTTGCATGTACTTTTATTTTTCACTTCATATTATGTAACATGTTTAGATTGATTAATAAAAGGGGATGAATCATAATTTTGTTTATGCAATAAACTTTTTAAATATTTAGTATGAGTTATTATCTATAGGCAACATCTACCATTTTACTTTTCTCTTCTATTAATAAAATATAAATTGTGTCCTAACTGTAAAAAGTATCTGAACAGAGCTCACGCCAACCTAGCTGGTTTCATTTTCCCTATATATATATATATATATATATATATATATATATATATATATATATATATATATATATATATATATATATATATATATCTGGTTTCATTTTCCCTATATATATATATATATGTCCTTATATACCACTATTGAAGCATACAAATTAAAGTCTTCCTTAGTATATGTTTTCTTCTTCAATTCAACGTAACCATGGAGAAGAAACATGGTTCATTATCCACGAAATTCCATTATGTGTTTTCTCTTGTTATTATGATGGTAACATTTTTGGGATTTGGGGACCGGTTGAGCAAAATTGATCAAGGCCGGGGATTACTGTCCTTGCTACATGCACCATGGTCAACAGTAAAATTTGCTAGGATTAGATTGAATTGGCCTGCTAGTTAGTAGTATGGTTAATTTTTTTACAAAATGTGAATATTTTAAGTATTTAAAATTAAAAGTGAAATATTTTTTAAATGTTAGAAATAAAAGTATAACAAATTAAAATTAATTGATAGCAAAATAAAATAAAAGAGTTAATTTCATTTTTGGTCATAGATTTATAGGTGGCAATCATCTTTTAATTCATTTTTTTTTTCAAAACATCCTTCTTTGGTCATAGTATTATTGTGCCATGACATTTTTGGCCCTCTATCAACAAAACAGTTTAAATACCATTAAATAAAAGAACATTTCAGTCTTCAGTTATGAATTTTTTTCAAAAAGATAGAACATAACAAATATAATGGGTCAACACACTTTTTATTAAAAAGATCAAAATGTCCTTGTATTTAATGACATTTTAACAATTTTGTTGATGGGGGACAAAAAATGATCATGCCACAATAATACTAGGACTAAATTAAAAGGGGAATGTTATGAAAAAAAAAAAAAAAAAAAACTAAAAGTGAACTGTACAAAAATGAAATTAACTCTAAAATAAAATGTCAATTATAATCCAGTGAGTAAATGTGGAAATAAAATTTTGTTGGTTATCATTGAATGCGCATAACAATGAAAGATAGCATAACATCCTCAAGCTGAATGGCAATTCCCATTGGAGGGAAAGGACAAGGATATATAAATGAAGATGCCTATATATATATGATTGCAGGAAAAAAAGTTGAAAGAAACATGGTTTGGGGCCACTTTGGGCCCCAAGAAAACATTGGGTTTGGGAAACATGTCAGGATGCACTTTTCCAAGGAAAATTATATTATTGACCACATAATAGAATCAAGTATTTATCATTTTGTCAAAAATTATAGATAATAATGAAGATATAATTTTATTTTCTTATCCTGCTACATTTTTGACAGACAAAATGTTGCCCCTTCAGCCTCCGCTTAATAATGCTCCTACCCATATAATGTTGTGTTGATCTTTCATCGACTTGTGCCCAATACTTAGGGTGATGTATTCAATTCAAACTTTTAGGGAGTCTTTTTAAAGGTCAGACGGGATTTAATTAAGATTTTTAAAGAATTTTTAAAAGTCGGGTGGTATTCGATTAAAACTTTTAAAGAGTCTTTAAAAGTCATGCGGTATTCAAAAAGTTATGAATTTTTATAGACTTTTTATTTTTAAAACTTTTGTAGACTTTTCCTTCTCAAATATAAATAGTTGAAATCCAACCACCAATCTCAAAATTTCAAAATTTTCTTTCTACCAACTCTTACAGGGCGTTTGGTTGGATGTAGTTTAGTTGTAATTGAATTGTAATTCAATGAAAGCCTCAATTACATTGTTTGGTTGGAGAGAATTGCTCCTTCCTTTTGTTGAATTGCAATTTATGGGGTACGCCCATGAATTGCAATTTAATGGATGTGGGAAAGGAAAAACTAGATGAAATGACATTACTACCCTTGATTATTATTACTATTATTATTACACAAGGGTATTTTAGTCTTTACACCACTTCTTTCCTTCTCAATTCCAATAATTCTATTTCTCCCTACCAAACAATGTAATTTGAATTCCTACATTATTCATAGTTAAATATAAATAAATAAAAAAGACTTATTTAGGGGGAAAAAGAATTGTAATTCGGTGGGAAAAGAATAAAGTGAGAATAAAGTAAGAATTCAAATTACGTTATTTGGTAGGAAGAAATAGAATTATTGGAATTGAGAAGGAAATAAGTGGTATAAAGACTAAAATACCTTTGTGTAATGATAATAGTAATAACAACCAAGGGTAGTAATGTCATTTCATATGTTTTTTCTTTATCAAATTCATTGAATTGCAATTAACGGGGGGTACCCCATGAATTGTAATTCCGTGGAATTGCAATTCCCTCCAACCAAACAATGCAATTGAGGTCTCGACTGAATTACAATTCAACTACAACTAAATTATGGTGAACCAAACGCCCTGCTATACATCATCATTTTACATGTTACCAGTTAATTGTACACTGTTAATTTATCAACCAAATTCTTACAAATCGTTAATACTATCAGTTAATCAAAAGAACTAACACAATTAACTACAAAGTATTAGTTAATTGACAAACACTTCCTTTATGAAGTAATACTAACTTGAGAGTAACCCAACCATGTTTATTGTGCAATTAATTTAGTAATTACAAAATTTCAAGTTCAATTCCCATTGAAATATTCTATTCATCTTTTTAGATTAACTAGTAATTCACCCGCGCGATGCACGGAAAAAATTATGTTATTATAAATATAAATAAAAAATAGAAAAACTAAAATATTTTAAATTATTTAATATAATAATATTTTTGAGCTTCCATCGGTCAAGTATTTATTATTTTTATAGAATATAAAATTACAATTAAAATTAAAATTAAATTTTTTATGGTTAATATAATCTCTAATTATGTGCATATTCAAATAAACTTATAGAGAGAATTTACATAATTACATTGATTTATTCTTAATTATATTTCATCTATATTATAATTTTCACATTATGAATAATAACTAAGATAATTACCTTTGAAAAGCAAATTTCAAATTTTGTATGAGTAAATTTAAACTCTAATTGAACACATTTTTATATGATTATATAATATATAGCTATTTTATTTTTCAAAAGTACATTTTTTATATGATTATATAATATATAGTTATTTTATTTTTCAAATGTTGTGTTTTTTTTTTTAAATAAAGGATGTTATGGTATTAATTGTAACATTAATTACTTCCAAAACCATATAACTTTATTATAGTTAAGATTTACCACTTCGTAATTTTTTATTGAATAGCGTCACAATTCATATTTCACTCAAAAGTATATATTCATATAGTGATTTTGAATTTGTTCAGAAATTAAAGTAATACGGAGTAACGTCTAAAATTATCTTATATATAAACACACGCACACATATGAATAAAGTGGAATTTACGATAACAAAACAAAAACAAAAAGAAAGTGGGGTAATAAAAGGAATAAAAAAACAAAAGTAGACAAATTTTAAATGTTTTTTCTTTTTTGGAATTATTGCACCACGTCCTATAACTAATCAAGTTTTCTAATATAAAGTATAGGCAGAAAATCATTACAACTGAATATATAAAGCACTGAGAAAGTGAGAATCTTTGAATTATTGTCTTGAGATAAGATATTAATCACACCAAAAAATTACACATTCTCAAAGGCTTAATTCAATGATTCAGTAAACAGTTATATCCTTCTAAATACACTATTAGACCAGAATGTATGTAAGGAGTTGAGGATTCAATTTTTTCGGAGAAGAAGAAAATCATTCACACCGTTAATCTCAAACACTCGTATGAGATAAAAGTTCACTTTTGTCACATGAGTATAGTAGTACGAATGTTTATCAAATATTTCACTACATAGATAGCTTTTGGCCTTTTGTAAAGAAAAAGAAAAAGAATAGTAATGTGTAAGCCTATCGGTGAACTACTGAACTTTACTAAATTTCATAAATTTATAAACAAATGGTTAAATGGCAACATGATTGGTGATGGCTATATATAGACTAATATTACGCATATTCCAAATTTCTATTTCATTTTATATCTCTATGATGTGACATGTTCTGTAGATTCATTAAAAAAATTACTAGTTCGACCAATCATTCGAAAATCTTACTTTTCCAGTGTAGAGATGAATAATTTTGCATGTTCTTTTGGACTCATTAAAAAAAGAAGGTCAGTCATGATTCTCCATAAAGTACATTTATCATTTTACTTTTCTCTTCTATTAATAAAATCATGACACGTAATAACAGTCTACATGGACAGCTCAGTTGGTCGTGATGCAGATAATAATAGTCTCCATATCATTTTTCCTATATATATGTCCTTATATCCACTATTGAAGCGTACAAATTAAAGTCTTCCCTTGGTGTATGTTTTCTTCTTCAACGTATAGTAACAATGGAGAAGAAACATGGTTCATTATCCACGAATTTCCATTATGTTTTTTCTCTTCTTATTATCATGGTAACATTTTTGGGATTTGGGGATGGGTATCCTTACGCCGTGCTAAAATGCACGCTCAGCCGATCTCCGTCAATAGCGAGCCATGGGCAGAAGAGAGCACAGTGGGTGAAGAAGAAATGGAGTGGTCGTCATTTTCCGAGGTGGGAAGCATGGAGGATGATCTCATCGCCGACGGCCTTGCTACATGCACCATGGTCCCAGCAGTGGCGGACCCAGGAATTTTTTTCAGCGGGGGCAAAATATTAAAGGAAAATTGATAATTAGAAAAAAAAAAATGAAACACTTAAAAAGTATAACCATAAATAATGTTGGATATAAGAAAATTATAAAACACATCAAAACATTATAAAAATATTCATAACAAAATATGAATATACTTGATACTGCTAATTCTACGTAAGCAATATAAAATAACACGAGACCAATTAAAGCAAGTAAAGTCTTTATTGATCAAGGTAGAAGCCCTAAGTACAATCTACTCGGTTGCTCTGAGTACCGACTGACTGCGGTCGGGATTCTCTAACAACAACCTATCGATCGTCCAAAAGTCCTCTACACTGTAGCTACTGTGGGTATTTATAGCCGCTGTGCCGGAGACAAGGATCCGGTCGTTCGGCATGCCCTCCACGTAGCCTCCACGTGTCCTCCTCCCGGGTGCCCTGTCTGTCGTCGTAGAGAACCGCCACGTGTTTTCCATCAGCTCTCTTGCCAAAGGGCTACCGCTCGGTGGTCGACACTATCACTCGGGCAACTCCCGATCGGAACCCCACCGGGTTCTTCACAAGGATCCCGACCTGTTACCTGCAAAGACGAAAAGAAAAGGGCAAAGGTATCTCGGTCGCGGTGAAGCTATGTCGGTCGGGATATTCCCTACCAAGAGCCCCCCAGCCCGGGCCTTTTTGATCGTCCGGGAAAAAACGGGACGGGATGAAGAAGCCCAACCGTCGGCCACTAAACCGACCGGCCAGCTGTCATTCCCTTACCCACCACGTGTCGGCCACTGCCGGCCTCTGCGACTGCAACCGTTGCCTCGGAGTCAGCGCTGGTCGTGTCACGCAAGTGGATGGCTTTCCCGCCCAAACGCTCTCCTATAAATAGGCCCTTGAGGCCTTCTTTTGAACTTTCCTCAATCTTCTGAAGCAGTCGGTACCCTCAGAGAGTCCCGAGCAGCAGATCAGCGATCCGATCGAGCAAAGCAAAACTTCAGATCCTCTTCCAAGTTTCTTCACTCGGTAAGCTCCTAGTTCTTTACTCTTTCTTTATTCTTCACGTTTTCATTCGTAAATAGAACTGATAGGCCAACTAACTGTCCCGGACGTATGAAGTCCCTTACTAACCCCGACCGACCTTTAGGTAGATCGAAATGACGGACTCTGACAGCCAGAATGCCTCAATCGCGGACTACGACGAGGAGGTCGAGTACATCAGCGACGAGGAGGTGGACATCATGTCCTGCTCTCCCGAGGTCACCCACCGACCGACGCCAGCCCCCGAGCGGGCTTCCGAACAAGACAACGCGTCAAGCTCCTCCGGGTCATCGAGCTCCAGCTCAAGCGGGTCGGGGAGCTCTAGCGAAGAGGAAGAAGAAGGAGCCCCATCGGGCAGACGGGGCTCTCCGACCGAAGGCGTTAGGGAAACGCCTACCCGGGTGGTTGGGGACCACCCGGAAACTGCTCCACGACGAGGCGACCGGGAAAATACTCCCGAGCCGGCCGAGGAAGATACAGATGGTCCGAGCGCGCCAGCGGTGGTGGAGTTCGAGTTTTTGAACAGCGAGAATGTCGAACAACAAATGAGCCGATTGACCACAGGCGAAGCGGCTAGGATTGCTGAAAGGCTCAGAGGTCGGGTGGAATTCGACACGAGCCGGAAGCTAGGGAACATCATCGATCGGCATCGGGGCAAATGGATCGGGATGCACTACGACTCCCTAATGGCCCCGATCGCCATTCCCTTCCCCCCCCCTCTTGAACGCCTTCTTGGCCTACTACCGAGTCGTCCCGGCTCAGATCTGCCCCAACTCACACCGAATCATCGCCTGCTTCCCTCAGATATGCGCCCGGCACGAGGCCGCCTGTACGATGGAGTTATTCAACTACATCTACCAAGTCAAAGTTCTCCCGGGCAGCTATGGAGGCGGGTTTCTGATGCTGCAGTCTCGGGCGGATATGTGCGCCATCAAAGGCCTGCCCGGGAACAACAGGGGGTGGAAGAATAGAATTTTCTCCCTCAAATACGATCCCTGGATCCTCCCGGTTGACCACGCTTGGAGCACCCACTTTCGGAAACAAGTGGTGCTGGTCGAGATGCAAGCGCTCAAGGAGACGGTCGCTCGGATCTCGAGCGAGCTGCACGAGTATACAATCTTCCGAACGGCCGAGAATCTCGAGGCGGCTAAGCTCCCGCCCCCTACATATGAGCTACGGGAAAAATATCTACCCGTACCTATGGGCGTGACGGTTGCCAAGCCGTCGAGGCGGAAGAAGAAAGGTTTAACCCGAGCCACTTCTCCCGACTTATCTTTATAAACTAATCGACCTAACCTACTTTGTTTTATTTGCAGCAATGGCCGGTTTCGGAGATGAGGATGTCCCGGTGCGCCCGGTGGCCAAGATTTCCCTTGGCAAAAAGAAGGGCCAGGCTAAGCCGGCCGGGGAAAAGGAGATCCCGGTTGCCCGACCCATTGGGGCATCGACCATCACCACGACCGAAGGCTTCGTGGTGGACGCCTCAGAGGTCCTGGTTTCCCGAGTGGAGGTCGGGAAGGGGAAAGAGAAGGTGGCTGAGAAGACCACCTCAGAGACCGGGGCCTTGAAGCGGCGCCGGGAACAACATAGCCCGACCCCTTCGGGCGGGGGCAGCAGAGGCGGATCTTCGATCCTTGCTCGGATCGGGAATGCCGGGTCGGCCAAGGAGGACCTCTCCAAGCTGACCCCGAGCCAGGTAGCCGAGAAGATCGGCCATGACTTGGCTGAGGTAAGCGTATTTTCCTTCTTCTGAGTTTTCTCGAAGTATTGCCGTTCGGCTAACATGGTCGTTCATATGCGCAGATCTCCCGAGCGGCCCAGTTTCTCCAACAACGGGCCCTTCAGGCCAGCGAAGCTGAGGCCTCGAAGAAGGTCGCCAATCGGCGGCTACAGGAGATCCGGGATCTGGAGGCTCAGCTAAAGAAGGTCAAAGCTGAGCGGGACCTCTCCGAGCAGGTCGCCCAGCAAGCGATCGGGGAGGCGGTCGAGCTCAAGGCTCGTCAAAACGACCCGGATAAGCTCGCCCAACATCTTTTTCAAGATACCAAATCGGGCGCTCGCTTTCTCCAGTCCGTTCGGGGCACAGAGGTCGGGGAGAAGCTGATATGGACGTTTGGCCGGTGGGCGTACAAAGCCGGTCAGCGAAAAATGCGTAATCAGACCAAGAAGATCATGGAGCAGGCCCTTGAAGGGGATGATCTTCAATTGGTCTTGACCACACTCCCTGACGACGTAGCCGACCCGGGGCCAACACCTTTTGATCCGAAGGATCGGGCTACGGCGAGCGGAGCTGAAGCCGCCCCGAGCGGGGAGGAAGGGCGATGCCGAGGCGAAGAAGTAGGATAAATTTTTATTCTTTCTCTTTTGTAAGTGACATCAGTCGGGAGCCCGGTCCCGAATTTGTACCGGGCACTCTTTTCAATCAATGAAAGTTGTTTTTGTTACTTGCATCGTTCGTCTCTCTTTCTGTATCTTTATTTTTAGTCATGCACATGCCGATCGGAACTACTTGACCGCTTGGCCTTCAGGCCCGGTCTCGCAATACTCGACCTTACTGACGCCCAGCCTTAGGACCTTATAGCTCGGTCGTGCGTTTGTGGTTTCGTCATGAAATTGACCAATCCGATCGAGTTTACCCGATCTCCTGGCCTTAGACGAAATTTTTGAAAATACACAAGCCCCTACGGTCGGGATATAACCAAGCGACGGGCCTGTAAATAAATACTTCCTTCATCCCAGCCCCCACACGATTGTGCGCTCGAGGCACGAGTGGGTGCGATCGTGGAAAGAAGTTGGATGGATCGGGGAATTATGCTGAGAGCTCCTGGCTTAAGTCAAGCGGGTAAGGCTGGGCCATCACCGCTGCTGTGAAAGGCGTCTGGTGTAGGGTCGATTGGTCGACCGGGGGTACTGCAGGGTACGCATTCCTGAGTTGCGCAACTTCGGCCTGGAGGTTGTAGAGCAATCCTCGGGTTTCGTTGAGCTCGGCGGTTTGAACGGCTTGGGCTGTGTCCCGAGCGCGTCGCCGTCGGTGTGATCTCGACCCGCTATGCCCAGATGAAGCCTCCTGGCTGGCGTCCTGCATGTGCACATCTTCTGGCTGGCGGTTTGGGTCTTGGGGTCCCAATCTTTGCCGCATTTCCGGTCGAAGACGGTCAAAAGCTACCGCTCGGGTAACTTCCTCAGGGTCCTCCGCTCGGGCGGGGACTTCTTCTGCTTGTTGGGCCTGCCGTGGTGCCTCCATCGCAACAGCACCCCCCGACCCCAACCGCGAATGAGCCGAGCGTCGAGCCCGGGAAGCGGGCTGATGCTGCGGCTCTACCTGAGCGGCCGGGTGTACTGGAGGGGCGGCGGCTAGAGCCGTGTACGCTGGCGTGAACGGTGGGTAGCCAACCGGTGGTGTGTAATACATTGGCTGGCCTGGCCAATACCCGTATGGTTGAGGTGGGACCGGGTATGGGTACTGACCGGGATACATCATCGGTTGAGGGTATTGCTGACCGGGCGTCTGAAATCCCGGTTGTATGTAATTCACCGGCTGTTGGGCGGCCGGGTATGTGTTTGATGGATGCGGTGGCGAGAGGTTGAGGTTGAGATCCATCGTCTGACCTTGCTGTTGGGTAGCATAATGGTCGGAGGAGCTCGCCGCATCCGCCTGGTCGTCGGCAAAGTTGTTGTGTGCCCACGGATACATGTTGATAGTGACCGGGTGCTCGTCAAGACGTAGTCTTTCTTGTACGGGTCCCCACAGACGGCGCCAAAATGATACTGCTAATTCTACGTAAGCAATATAAAATAACACGAGACCAATTAAAGCAAGTAAAGTCTTTATTGATCAAGGTAGAAGCCCTAAGTACAATCTACTCGGTTGCTCTGAGCACCGACTAACTGCGGTCGGGATTCTCTAACAACAACCTATCGATCGTCCAAAAGTCCTCTACACTGTAGCTACTGTGGGTATTTATAGCCGCTGTGCTGGAGACAAGGATCCGGTCGTTCGACATGCCCTCCACGTAGCCTCCACGTGTCCTCCTCCCGGGTGCCCTGTCTGTCGTCGTAGAGAACCGCCACGTGTTTTTCATCAGCTCTCTTGCCAAAGGGCTACCGCTCGGTGGTCGACACTATCACTCGGGCAACTCCCGATCGGAACCCCACCGGGTTCTTCACAAGGATCCCGACCTGTTACCTGCAAAGACGAAAAGAAAAGGGCAAAGGTATCTCGGTCGTGGTGAAGCTATGTCGGTCGGGATATTCCCTACCAATACTCAATTTGATAAAATAATTTGAATAAAAGATCCATTACAAATTACACATCTCATCTCATTATTAATATCAATGAAGATTATATTATTGTGTTGAAGCAATATGCACTATTAATAATATTGAAAATGTGATACTAATACTCAATTTGATAAAATAATTTGAATAAAAGATCCATTACAAATTACACATCTCATCTCATTATTAATATCAATGAAGATTATATTATTGTGTTGAAGCAATATGCACTATTAATAATATTGAAAATGTGAAATAATGTGAAAAGATAGTGTTAATGGTGAAAATGTGAAATAAAATGTCAAAAAAATTGAAAACAAACCACACGCTCAACCACAAATTCAAACCCTAGCCTACCTTCAAGCCAACCATGCGCTCTACCAACTAGGCTAAGTCACATTCTGTTATCATTTCTCTATTTTTTAATACTTATACTAAAACTTCTACTATATATACACATATACATACAAGGATTATATAAGAGGTGGGGGTGGAGTGAGTGGGGGCAGCTGACCCCACTGCCCCCACTGTGGGTCCGCCTCTGGTCCCCAGTAAAATTTGTCAGGATTAGATTGAATTGGCCTGCTAGTTAGTAGTTTTTTTTTTTGTTTTTTTTTTATTTTATTTTTTTTAACAAAATGTGTATTTTAAGTATTTAAAATTAAAAGTGAAATATTTTTTAAAGGTTAGAAATAAAAGTATAACAAATTAAAATTAATTGATAGCAAAATAAAATAAAAGAGTTAATTTCATTTTTGGTCATAGATTTATAGGTGGCAATCATCTTTTAGTCCATTTTTTTTTCAAAACATCCTCTTTTGGTCATAGTATTATTGTGCCATGATTATTTTTGGCCCTCAACAAAACAGTTTAAATACCATTAAATAAAAGGACATTTCAGTTTTCAGTTATGAATTTTTTTCAAAAAGATAGAACATAAAAAATATAATGGGTCAAACACACTTTTTATTAAAAAGATCAAAATGTCCTTATATTTAATGACATTTTAACGATTTTGTTGATGAGGGACAAAAAATGATCATGCCACAATAATACTAGGACCAAATTAAAAGAGAATGTTATAATAAAAAAAAGATTAAAAGTGAACTGTCACCTATAAATCTAAGACAAAAAAAAAAAAAAATTAACTCTAAAATAAAATGTCAATTATAATCGAGTGAGTAAATGTGGAAATAAAATTTTGCTGGTTATCATTGAATGCGCATAACAATGAAAGATAGCATAACATCCTCAAGCTGAATGGCAATTCCCATTGGAGGAAAAGGACAAGGATATATAAATGAAGATGCCCATATATGATTGCAGGAAAAAAAGTTGAAAGAAACATGGTTTGGGCCCCAAGAAAGCATTGGGTTTGGAAAACATGTCATGTGTGACACAACGGATGCACTTTTCCAAGGAAAATTATATTATTGATCACATAATGAATCAAATATTTATCATTTTGTCAAAAGTTATAATTAATAATGAAGATATAATTTTATTTTCTTATCCTGCTACATTTTTGAGAGGCAAAATGTTATAATTGCCCCTTCAGCCTCCGCTTAATAATGCTCCCACCCATATAATGTTGTGTTGATCTTTCATCGACCTGTGCCCAATACTTAGGGTGATGTATTCAATTCAAACTTTTAGGGTGTCTTTTTAGATGAAATGACACTACTACCCTTGATTATTATTACTATTATTATTACACAAGGGTATTTTAGTTTTTACACCACTTCTTTCCTTCTCAATTTCAATAATTCTATTTCTCCCTACCAAACAATGTAATTTGAATTCCTACATTATTCATAGTTAAATATAAATAAATAAAAAAGACTTATTTAGGGGAAAAAGGAATTGTAATTCGGTGGGAAAAGAAAAAAGTAGAAATTCAAATTACGTTATTTGGTAGGGATAAATAAAATTATTGGAATTGAGAAGAAAATAAGTGGTATAAAGACTAAAATACCTTTGTGTAATGATAATAGTAATAACAGCCAAGGGTAGTAATGTCATTTCATATGTTTTTTCTTTATCAAATTCATTGAATTGCAATTTATGGGGTACCCCATGAATTGCAATTCAACAAAAGGAGCGAATTACAATTTCCTCCAACCAAACAATGTAATTGAGGTCTCCACTGAATTACAATTCAACCACAACTAAATTATGGTGAACCAAACGCCATGTTATACATCATCATTTTACATGTTACCAGTTAATTTATCAACCAAATTCTTACAAATCGCTAATACTATCAGTTAATCAAAAGAACTAACACAATTAACTACAAAGTATTAGTTAATTGACAAACACATCCTTTATGAAGTAATACTAACTTGAGAGTATCCCAACCATGTTTATTGTGCAATTAATTTAGTCAAAATTTCAAGTTCAATTCCCGTTGAAATATTTTATTCACCTTTTTAGATTGATTTACCACTTCGTAATTTTTTTTGAATAGCGTCACAAGTCATATTTCACTCAAAAGTATATATTCATTATTCATATAGTGATTTTGAATTTGTTCAGAAATTAAAGTAATACGGAGTAACTTCTAAAATTATCTTATATATAAACACACGCACACATATCAATAAAGTGGAATTTACGAAAACAAAACAAAAACAAAAAGAAAGTGGGGTAATAAAAGGAATAAAAAAAAAACAAAAGTAGACAAATTTTAAATGTTTTTTTTTTTTTTTTGGAATTATTGCATCACGTCCTATAACGTAATCAAGTTTTCTAATGTAAAGTATAGGCAGAAAATCATTACAACTGAATATATAAAGCACTGAGAAAGTGAGAATCTTTGAATTATTCCCTTGAGATAAGATATCATGTAATCACACTAGAAAATCACACATTCTCAAAGACTTAATTCAATAATTCAGTAAATAGTTACATCCTTTCAAATACTCTGTTAGACCAGAATGTAAAGAGTTGTGAATTTAATTTTTTCAGAGAAGAAAGAAAATCATTCACACCATTAATCTCAAACACTCGTATGAGATAAAAGTTCACTTTTGTCACATGAGTATAGTAGTACGAATGTTTATCAAATATTTCACTACATAGATAGTTTTTGGCCTTTTGTAAAGAAAAAGAAAAAGAATAGTATTGTGTAAGCCTATCGGTGAACTACTGAACTTTACTAAATTTCATAAATTTATAAACAAATGGTTAAATGGCAATATGATTGGTGATGGCTATATATAGACTAATATTACGCATATTCCAAATTTCTATTTCATTTTATATCTCTACGATGTGGCATGTTCCGTAGATTCATTAAAAAAATTACTAATTCAACCAATCATTCGAAAATCTTACTTTTTCAGTGTAGAGATGAATAATTTTGCATGTTCTTTTAGACTCATTAAAAAAAGAAGGCCAGTCATGATTCTCCATAGAGTACATCTATCATTTTACTTTTCTCTTCTATTAATAAAATCATGACACGTAATAATAGTCTACATGGACAGCTCAGTTGGTCGTGATGCAGATAATAATAGTCTCCATATCATTTTTCCTATATATATATGTCCTTATATCCACTATTGAAGCATACAAATTAAAGTCTTCCCTTGGTGTATGTTTTCTTCTTCAACGTATAGTAACAAACTAACAATGGAGAAGAAACATGGTTCATTATTCACGAAATTTCATTATGTGTTTTCTCTTCTTATTATCATGGTAACATTTTCGGGATTTGGGGATGGGTTGAGCAAAATTGATCAAGGCCGGGGATTACTGTCCTTACGCCGTGCTAAAATGCACGCTCAGCCGATCTCCGTCAATAGCGAGCCATGGGCAGAAGCGAGCACAGTGACTGAAGAAGAAATGGTGTCGTCATTTTCCGAGGTGGGAAGCATGGAGGATGATCTCATCGCCGGCGGGCTTCCGGGACAGCCGTCAAATGTGAAGTTCAAGCAGTACGCAGGGTATGTGGGTGTGGATAAGATGAATGGGAGAAGCCTTTTCTATTACTTTGCTGAATCTGCTGAGAATTCTGCCACTAAACCTCTCATTCTATGGCTTAATGGAGGTGAACCAGATATCATAAAGTTTCAAGCTTTAATTTAAAATTTCCAGTCTTTCTTGAATCTTTAATTAGTATTTAATCATCTCATCTGAAGCAGGTCCTGGGTGTTCATCACTTGGAATGGGTGCTTTTGTAGAGATTGGACCTTTCGGCGTTAACCCAGACGCCAAAACTCTTTACTCAAGAAGATTTGCATGGAATAGAGGTACTTACTACTTCCATTCATACCTGGCCTGCAACCTTAATTAATTATCCTCTTACGTTAATGGTACGCTAATGATGATGATGTTGCAGTTGCAAATACATTATTTCTGGAGTCACCGGCCGGCGTTGGTTTCTCTTATTCCAACACTTCCTCGGATTATGATAAGTCAGGAGACAGGAGGACCGGTAAAAGCATTTTCTGTTTGTAATTAATATCCATTTTTTTGTTTTTGTTTGAAATATACCATTATTCTGTTACAGCTGAGGATGCTTACAAGTTCTTGGTAAATTGGTTCAAGAGATTCCCACATTACAAGACTAGGGATTTCTACATTATGGGAGAAAGCTATGCAGGTAATTATAGCCTTCTTGATTTCTGCTAAAGTACTCAAATTTGCTGGTGATTGTCTGTTTTTAACTTTTTTATGTTAGCAGAAAATTGACAGATAGATACTCTTGTTATGGCTGTCACAGGGTATTACATCCCCGAGCTAGCTGATATAGTTGTCAAGAGGAATACGATGCCCGGGGCAACGTTAAAGATCCAACTCAAGGGAGTTATGGTAAAATTTAACCACGCTCTAATAAGTAAATTGCAACCTCGATCGACTTACAAAAAACGTTTGTACATATGTCTTGTTGTTATCAGATAGGTAATGGGATAATGAATGATGCCACGGACATTAGAGGACGCTATGACTATTTCTGGAGCCACGCCCTAATTTCAGACGAAACTCACCGGGGGCTGGTGGAGCAGTGTCTGGGGAATGTGAGCAAAACATGTGAACATTTTGAAATAGCAGCAGGGGGTGAGGTTGGAGGAATAGATTATTACAACATCTATGGCCCTTTGTGTTTGGATTCCAAGAATTCGAGGAAGGTACATCGGAATCTGGAATTCGATCCTTGTGAAGGAAACTATGTTCACACTTATCTCAATCTCCATATGGTTCAAGAGGCCTTGCATGCCAACAGGACCAAGCTTCCTTACACTTGGGAACTCTGCAGGTTAATTTGCAACCTATAATATATTATATTGTCTGTCTGTCTTAATTGAGGTTGTTTTAAGGTTTGCAATGATTCAGTTATTCTGTTACATTTTGTTTCTTGAAGTGATATCATCCCAACTTGGAAAGACAGCCCATCAACCATGTACCCAATATACAGGAGGTTAATAACATCTGGCCTCCAAATACTTCTGTTTAGGTAAAATTAAGGTTTCTCATTCAAATCTCTGTCCTGACTATGATAAATTATTGAATTGGTTCATGTTAGTTAGTTAGTTACTGATTCATGGTTTTCTGCAGCGGCGATGTTGATTCAGTAGTGTCAGTGACTGCCACCCGCTATTCCCTGAAAGCTATGAACTTGAAAGTGATCGAATCTTGGCATCCATGGAAAGACAACACCAAAGAAGTAGGCCTTAAACCTCATTTTTTCAGAACTGCAAGATTGTTAGTTGTACCTTAAACCAAGTGTTTTGATGATGTTGTTTTTGCAGGTGGTTGGATACAAAGTGGTGTACGAGGGTTTAACTTTCGCCACGGTCAGAGGTGCTGGCCATGAAGTTCCACAGTTTAAACCGCGCAGAGCTTTCGCCTTGCTGGAGATGTTCCTAGCCAACAATCACCATTAGAATTGGAAATTGGAATCAATGCAATATTTCCTCTCATTTTCTAGTGATAATAAGATAGTTTAGCAGTTTGTAATGCAGTATTGCAGACAGATATTCCGGCTTAATTTCCACTTGTTTTGTCACAAATTCTAGTACCCTTATTTCAGAACATCAATTGAAAACAATAACACAATCATAGTCAAGCAAGGTTGAAGGTTGTCTTGTTGACCGGCCAACAGAATATCTATGCTAAGAAATACCATTGATAACAAAGTTAGCAGCTTTGTAATGCCCATCATCACTCTCCAAGGTTTTGTCCTTCTCATCTCATTCTCTACATTGTTGTCAAAAGTAGACTAACAGGGATAATTTTAGAAATAATATAATGAGTGTGTTGATAAGTAACTATATAAATAATTTTTAGATTTTAACTAATATTCACGTATGCTAAGCTTGCATGTGACTTTTTGTTAACATTTAATAGTGTGAATGAAGTCATGAAAAAATTTGGTAAACAACGTTGAATTTAATGGGTAAGACTATCAAAATTAAAAAAATATTTACAATTCTATTAAAAATTTACTCTATATTCAATTTTAAATGAACCATTAAAAATTGAAAAAAAATATATTATTGATGGGTATATAAGCACACAGACTACTCGTGAGATCACCTAGGTAGTCCGTTAAGAGATACCCGATCGGTCCACTATAGCCATCAACCAGATGAAACCAAAGCATTTGCAACCGATCGTATCACTCGTATTAACAAGCCTCGTGACAGATGAAGATATTCTCGGATCACCCTTAGAATCGCCCTGATGGAGCTCCACTCGGCCAATCTACCGTAGGTTGACTGGTCGACCTACGGTGCAATGCACTCCGCGAGCGGGAAAAGCTTAGCTTACATGACAAGTAATAGAAGCTAACTTGCACTTGCAGAACGGCGATTGACAACTTGCAGGGATAACAGCTCTGTCGCATCGAACAGTCAATCTGCACGTAGCTGCAGGGCGACTGTCTGACCAAGCCAACGAGAATGCGCTACGTCAAACCACTTGCAGCAAAACATTAAATGCTTAGACCGACCTGATTAGTATAAATAGGAGGGTCTCCCCCTCACTTGTCATATTCATCACATTGTAACAACTACTCACTACTTGTGACCTTCATCTTATTGTAAATTTGTAACATCACACCACTTGTGATTTACTCTATATTTCACTCTATTTCACTTGTAACCATTCACTACTTGTAATACTACGTAATCTCAGACCGCTCAATCGTCACCCTGTAGACCGACTAACCCATTGAGTGTCCTCTCTATTTGTTCACAACATACGTATTCGTAACCACAATTCTATTTACGCTATCAATTATATTATTAGACTTCACACTTCGATCACCTTCCTTTTCTTTTATATTTGAGATTGAAAAATTGATAGATACATAGCATATGAGAATTTTGTAGTTGGATTAGATTGAGTTGACTTGCTAGTAAGTAATATGGTGAGGTTTTCTCAAAGTGTGAATATTTTAAGTGATATAACAAATCAAAATTGATTGATAACAATTTTTTTTTTCTATATTTGATATGAAAAAAATTGATAGATATATAGTAGCGTGTGAGAATTTTGTAGCCTCATTAGATTGATAGATAGAGTTAATTTAACTTTTGGTCCTATGATTATTGATGTTTTGTTAATTTCAGTTCATGAGTTTCAAAACTGTTTAGTACCTTAACTATTTAATTTTTCTCAATTTCGGTCATGGTCAAATTTTCAACAAAAAATAATTGAAAAGACAAATTTACCATCAAATTTTTAAAATAATAACTGAAAAACAAATTATGTACTGTTTCGGTGGCCCAACATCATGACTCATCTAGCATTTTTAGCAAGTTTTATGAATCTACGTTTTCAAAAAAAATAAATTATGAATCTACAGTATAGAAATTATGGATCTACCCCTGTGTTCACAGCAAAACTATTGGCTATTACTCCCAATTATTTGTCATCTAGCATTTTTAACAAGTTTTAGCAAGTTTCTAACAAGTAACCCATCTAATTTGCTGATATGGAAAAATAAAATAAAAACAAAATGCTGATATGTTATTTTTTCATCTAACTTGCTGTTTTTGTCACTTTTTTCGATAGAAAAATTCAATTTTTTTTTACGTATTTCCAGATTATGTTGATTTCTTCTAGAAAACAGTGAATCTATTTTTGAAATAAGTATGTTACCGCTTTTGTGATTTTTGAACCCATTTATTGGCATTGGCATTGATTTTTATTTTGGTTTTGGATGGTGCGTTTATGAGGCTCTTCGGTATACACCTGAGATTGAGGAGCTTGGAAAAAAAAACTGGTTAATAGGGGATCGACAACGATGATCTGTATATTGCTCTTCATTTGAGGTATAATAACTAACACGACTTTTGATTTAATGTTTGAGTTGTAACTTAATTAACTGACTTCCTTTGAGTGTAGATACGAAAAGGACATGCTTGCGTTGACTGGCTGCAGCCACAATCTGACTGAAGTAGAAGCTAAGGAACTTCGCGTTATGAGGTATAATGTGCAACACTGGAAAGAGAAAAAGATAGACAGCGAAGAAAGGAGACTGCCCTATGTCCCCGAGGGAAGGGACCATGTATTTGAAGGCGATGGGGTATCCCTCCACAACAAAAATATACATTTTGCATGACAAATTTATGGTAACAACATGGATGCAAGCTTAGAATACCCCTATGTGTTTTCACACTCAACAAGGATGAGTTGGAACCTTTCAAGTCATATCAGAAATCAACGTAATCTGAAAATACGTTAAAAAAAAATTAAATTTTTCTGTCAAAAAAAGTGACAAAAATAGCAAGTTAGATGAAAAAAAAAAATAATAATATTAACATGTAGCACTTATTTTATTTTATTTTTTCATGTAAGCAAATTAGATGGGTTACTTGTTATAAACTTGCTAAAAATATTAGATGAAAAATAATTGGGAGTATAATAGTCTAGACGAATCATATTTTAATTCATTGTGCTAGATGAACAATCAATGATAGTACATGAGTCTATTTGACCATTCTGCCTAGAAATTGTTAAATGCATGTATCAGTTTCATTGGTCAGTCTTATATTAGATTTTAATACTTATATTTTATATTTTTCTATTTGAAAGGTAGTTTTAGTGGAAAATTGAACCAATATTATTGGCCAAATCCTCTAGATTTGGGATTGAAAAATTGATAGATACATGTGAGAATTTTGTAGCTGGATTTGATTTAATTGACTTGTTAATGAGTAGTATGGTTAGATTTTTTCAAAGTGTAAATATTTTAAGTATTTAGAACTAAAATTGAAATATTTTTTAAAGGTTAGAAATAGAAGTATAACAAATCAAAATTGATTGAAAACAAATTTTTTCTTTATTTGAGATGAAAAAAAAATGATAGATATATCGTATGTGAGAATTTTGTAGCTTGATTATATTGAATTGTAACTTGTAAGTAAGTACTATGGTGAAATTTGTTGTATAGTGAGATTTTCTCAAAATTGCTAGTAAGTAGTATGGTGAGATTATCTCAAAGTGTGAAATATTTTAAGTGTTTAGAACCAAAACTGAAATATTTTTTAAAGGTTAGAAATAGAAGTATAACAAATCAAAATTGATTGATAAAAATAATTTTTTTTTCTTTATTTGAGATGAAAAAAATTGATAGATATATCGTATGTGAAAATTTCGTAGCTTGATTAGATTGAACTGACTTGCAAGTAAGTACTATGGTGAAGTTTGTAGTGTGGTACTATATATGGTGAGATTTTCTCAAAATTGCTAGTAAGTAGTATTGTGAGATTTTCTCAAAGTGTGAATATTTGAAGTGTTTAGAACCAAAACTGGAATATTTTTTAAAGGTTAGAAATAGAAGTATAACAAATCAAAATTGATTGATAACAAACACTTTTTTTTTTTTTAAATCTGTGATGAAAAAAATTGATAGATATATATCATGTGAGAATTTTGTAACTTGATTAGATTGAATTGACTTGCTAGTAAGTAGTATGGTGAAATTTGTACAAAATGTAAATATTTTAAGTGGAATTAATTTCATTTTTGGTCCTATAACTATTAGCGTCTTGTTAATTTCAGTTCACGAATTGTCAATTTAATAGTACCTTAAGTATTCAATTTTTCTCAATTTCAATCCATCCAGTTAAATTTTGGATAAAAAAAATAACTAAAAAAATCTTTAAAAAAAAAAATTAACTAAAAAGACAAATTTACCCTCCTGCAAGATCATTGTAAATGTCAGACAAGTGAGACAACCCAAGTTGACCTGAAACGGTAAATTCTATGAAAGTAATGAACCAAAGCCGGCAACTCACATTATATATATTCTGAGTTTCGCGATACATAAGTGGGTTGATTTAATATAATGTTTCACAGGGCGACAATGAAGGGGGGATGTATGTTCATTCTTCTTGCTGCGGTGGTTCACCTCCTGGTTTTTGCAGAATGCTACAGCATTGGGGGGAGGAAATTTGATCCACTGGAATCACTCCTCAAAACCCAGAAACAGAAACGACAAAACAACAATGCCCAGACGATAATAATGAGCGCTCAGGATTTGGGTTCTGTGTACATAGGAGCTCAAGATGGGTTGAAGGATGCAGACAAGATCTCTGCCCTTCCAGGCCAACCAGAAGGCGTGAAATTTGCACAGTTTTCTGGGTACGTGACTGTGGATCCCCAGGCCGGCCGTGCCCTCTTCTATTACTTTGCAGAATCTGAAACCCCTTCTGACAAACCTCTTGTCTTGTGGCTCAATGGCGGACCTGGCTGCTCTTCATTCGGGAATGGAGGAATGATGGAAAATGGTCCCTTTCGTGTCAATTCCGATTCCAAAACTCTCTGGCTAAACAAATATGCCTGGAATAATGGTATCTTACGTTTAACTTTACAGATACTAAATTGGAATATGTGTTTGGCTTAACTAGTAAATGGTTAAAGTGATGAATATATGCAGTGGCGAATGTTATTTTCCTGGAATCGCCTGCCGGAGTGGGATTTTCGTACTCTAATAGATCGTCGGATTATGTTACCGGAGACAAAAAAACGGCTGCTGATAACTATATCTTTCTCCTGAACTGGCTGGAAAGATTCCCGGAATATAAAACCAGGGACTTGTTCATTACCGGAGAAAGTTATGCCGGTCATTACGTGCCTCAACTAGCTCAACTTATACTACGTAACAACAAAATCACCAACCAAACCATCATCAACCTTAAAGGGATTGCCGTAAGTTTTTCATTTCACTCCTATTTATATCATCAGATAAAAAAAAAACAATTATTGATTCTTGAAGTTGATTAGATTGGGAATGCGTATATCGACGAAGAAACACAAGATTCTGGGACCTACGATTTTTACTGGACGCATGCACTAATATCCGACGAGACCCACCGAGGAATCATTGCAAATTGCAACTTCTCGTCTGCAGCATCTCCGTCTGATACCTGCGACACCTTTGTGGATGATGCAGATCGTTCTATGGGCAACATATACAGTTACAACATCTATGCTCCATTTTGTTCTTCGGGTTCGGGTTTGTCTTCTTCCTCGGTTCAGGGCTCTAGTAGAGGATTTGATCCCTGCTCATCTGATTATATTTACGTGTATTTGAACACCCCTGAAGTGCAAAAGGCACTTCATGCCAATGTCACAGGGATTCCAGGGCCATGGGATTCTTGCAGGTACTCATCATTATTTTATCCATTGTTAATATTAATTCTCAATTTTTACACGAACCCAAGTCCTCATTCGATCCGTATCATTGAAAAACAGTCAAGATGTCAATGTCAACTGGGAAGACATGCCGGATACAGTATTACCCACCATTAAAGAGCTAATGGGTAGCGGAATTAGTGTCTGGCTTTACAGGTAAACATATTCGATCGTGTAATTTCTAATTTTTATTTTTTTTTGGTCACATGTTTCTTATGTCTAAAAATTGAAAATTGATGAATGGGCAGTGGAGACATAGATGGCAAAGTGGCAGTGACAACAACTACATATGCAATAAACAAGCTTAATACTTCAGTCAAAACTCCCTGGTATCCATGGTACTCCAAAGGAGAGGTACTGTATAGTACATAAAAACATCTTCCAATATAATATAGGTAGCAAAAATGTTGATTATGGTGTGAAACTAATTTGTTTTTGGGTTTGGTTAACTAAGGTTGGTGGCTATGTGGTCGGATATGAGGATTTGAGCTTTGTGACCATAAGAGGGGCAGGGCATTTTGTACCAAGTTATCAACCTGAGCGTGCCCTAACCTTCTTCTCAGCCTTCGTTGAGGGAAAGCTTCCCCCTAAATCTGCAGAGTAACTAAAGAGTTGGGAGTTGGAGGGGCCCATTTAATTAAATTAAAGCCCCGACAGGCTGCCTGTGTTGTACTATTTAATGATCTTCTATAACTTAAACACTTTCATAGATTGTTGTTGGGATGTTATCTCCTTGTTCGTATTGTGAATAAACAAAGTACACAGGTTGCATTGCAAGGATTTGATTTGCACTACTGCACACAAGACACAATTCAATCTCTTTCAAAAAGTGAATTATATATAGAAGAACTTAAATTTACTTTGACCCCACCTAAAATTATATCACAAAATGATCACTCTACATGTCAATGTAGGGGTATAAACGAGTCGAGCCGAGCTCGAGCCTGGGTAGGCTCGAGCTCGAGCTCGATCTTGAGCTGGAGTTCAAACTCGATTTTGACATTGAATTTGACCTATTTAATACTTTTAATTAAAAATTCAAACTACTTTGTTTTATCCATACATAAATAATAGAAATCCTTTAGGGATTTTGAGTTTAAAATTTTAATTTCTAATTGTTATTTTTATATATTATCATTATTATTATTATATTATATTATATTATATTATATATTATATGGCTCGCGAGCGGCTCGACGAGCCACGAGCCTAGAATATCTAGGCTCGGCTCGAGCTCAATTTTGACTGAGCTGCTCGCGAGCGGCTTGGCTCATTTACACCCCTATGTCAATGTTTCGTTCAATTTAATTCCTATATTTGAGGGTAACAATTAAAGACAATAGCTAATGTGGCGTTGACATCATCTTTGTCACATCATCATACTCACACGGCAACTCATCATATATTATTATATAAATATAAATATTTAAAATAAATTATTTTCTTGTATAGTGAAAAGACTCACTACCACTTTACTACTCCCTTATTCTATTCATTTCTTGTAAATAATGATTAAATACCATTCAAAATGGAATTTGTAACAATTTTAAATTTATATTAATAAAAATTAATAATGATGATAATTTGTAATTTTTTAATTTATTATGGTCTATAATATTTTAATAATGGACACTTTTATATTTTGTATTAAAATGCATATTACTTATTAATTTATGAAAAAAATATTACAAATGTTAATTTATTTTATTTGAATAAATTAAGTCACTTGCATTTTAATATAAATTAAAAAATTTATTTCTTAAAAAAGCTAAATAAATTAAAATATTACAATTTAATCTTCATTTTTATTTTTTTATCAATATAGATTATTATATTATTTTTGGTAACAATTTTCTCCGTAGGAAACTTCTTATTACAACTAAAATTTTCTACAAATTTCATTTTATAATGGTATTTAAACATTCTTTTAAAATGGATTAATGAGATAAGAGTGTGCAAAGTGGTAATAAGTGCATTTTATTTTTATTTTTGGTGGAAGGGGGGACCCTACGGGTCCCAAAGGTTAACGAAGCCTACTAGAAGCAATGTTATGAGCGTCACGAACCAGCAAGCCCATTAGGCCGTGCGGGGGACGATCCAGTATGATTGTGCCCCAAGTACTTGACTATCCCAGATTAGCTAAGTAGTTTGCACATTAATTGCCTTCTCGAAACACGTGGATGATCTTGAACACTTGAAACTGTTCTATGAGGTGCTTGCAATCAGAGATTAAAGTGTTCGTTTCGGGGTAGTAAGTGTGTTTTATGTGTAAGAGGTTAAATGTTCAAATGTCGATATGAGCGTGCATATGTGTATTTATTTTGACATAATAATGTACTCCCGGCATCTGTCCAATTTTATTTGTCGTACTTATTATTCATTGGTCAAACTAATTATTTCTTGTTTGCTTATTTCTGTTAGTATTTTCTTATAATTTTTAATTTTAATTTTTTGTGTTAATAGTACTTTTAATATAGTTTATAACTATATAAATTTTACACACTAAATCTAAGTTTAATATTATGAAAAATTAAATTGTAATTAAGTAACTTCAGTCAAGCCTTGTTTAAAACCTGATATATAAAATGGAACATATGGAGTATATGAGTTGGCATGTAAATATGATGATGTGACATAGATGATGTCATCACCACATCAACTATAAGTACAATGACTAAATTAAATAGAACTAAGGTGGAAGGACTAAATTGAACAAAATATTATAGTACATTGATCTCATAGATACTTTGACTGAAATCTTCACTTTGCATCCCAAATATATATATATATATATATATATATATATATATATATATATATATATATATATATATATATATATATAGAAGAGCGCTCATATGCGGCGGGATCTTACGGTGCGGCGGTGCGGTCAAATTCCAGAATACACCAACAGTGTTAACAATATGCACCAACAATGTAATAAAAACACACCCCAATGAAATGTAATAAAACATCACAAAATACACCACAGACTCAAAAAAACACACCATATAACTCACCACCCCCAATGGTGTATTTTCGAACAGTGTATGGTGTTTTTACTCACACCTAATGGTGTGTGTTTGGTAATGCAGGGCTCTGTTTACTCTGTTTTGTGTGGTGTATTTCCTAACGTTGATGGTGCATATTTGGTGAACTATTGGTGTTGCCGCACCGTAAGACACTGCCGCACCTGAACCCGCCTATATATATATATATATATATATATATATATATATATATATATATATATATTGGGTGTATTTTAATTGTAAATGTTAGCCGTTGGTAAACACTCTTATTAATGTGCAACATGTTAAAAAAGTTTGAATCAAACTTTTCTCCAAGAATCAAACTTTGCTTATGCAACTCAGGGTGAATGCGGATCACTTTTATTGTAGTGTGAATATAGAAAGTTATATGCAAAAAAAGTAAATGAGTTATTTCACTTTAAATTCTTGAAAAAAATATTTTATTTTTAGTTCAAATTATCTTAAGTTTATGATTAAAATCTCAGTGGCTTGACAAAAGATATATTAAAGTGGAGTCCAATTTTTTAAGTCAAGGATAGTGAGAAGTGGAATATTTACAATCATGCATATTCGAGGAACTAAAAGCAAACTACTTTTATAATTATTTTTAGCTTTATAGATTGTTTAAATTTATTCTTGAAATTAAAAGTTATATTGTTTATAATTATTTCATATAATGAAGAATCATTCATAATGATTATTATGTATTTGTCCTCTGATCTTTAGTTGAAAAACAAGTTCCTCATTCCTAATAATTTAAACATTGGACACATTTGTTTTTTTAATTTTTTTATTTATTTATTTAGGGGTATTAATGCTATCTAGTTAAAATAAAATAGTGAAAGAAGAATATAAATGAATAAAATATGGGAGTAATTGCAAAGAGCAAATATCATTTCTAATAGAATGTCAGAATATTACAATTACTTTTGACCTATATATACATGACAACCAACAAATATAACTGTCAACCACTCAATTATCAACTAGTTTGGGGTCTTTTAGGTATATAATCACACCTTTTAATAGTTACTATACGGCTAAGTCCTCACCAGACTGAGTTTTTGAGGAACTTGGATTGACTTCTTCAAATAGACCAATTAATGATCTCTCATGATCAATTGTTATATGTAAAGAATTATATAGTAGAATACACATAAATTCCTAACATAATACATTTATTTTTTATTGCCTTGTAGACACAGAAAATTTGAAGCCGACAAGTGGACCGATTAAATCATTATCGAGCCCAATTTTAGGGTTGATCATTAGTCCAAGTAAATTTGATTTGGGCTATTGAATTAATTAATTAATTGGTCCAAGCCCATTTCATAATTGAATTATAATTATAATTATAATTTAAATATAATATAATTTTATTATATTTGAATTAGATAATTATAATTTAATTTGAATTTGAATTAGATGATAGAATAATGAACCTAGACTTGATTTTGGCAAGGTTCATTTTAGTAGATAATTAATTAATTTAATTAAATAAATATTAGTGGAGTTTGTTGAGGGATTTTAGTTACAAACTTCACTATAAATAGAGCCTCAATTCCATTCTTCAAATCACACCTTAAATACATTGAGAACAACTTGAAGACTTGAGAGCTTGAAGACATTGAAGAACGCTTGACAACTTGAAGGCTTGAAGATTTGAGAGCTCTTTTGAAGGCATTTGAAGATCTGGAAGAATTAAAGGCATTGAAGGCATTTTTTGCAGGTTTTAAAGATCTTGAAGCAACTTGAAGCCTTTTTATAGGTACTTTGAAGATCTTGGAGCCTTTTGAAGGCAACTTGAAGCCATTGCAGGAGCTTTAATTTGATGTTTTGTAGAGTTTATTGCTTCGGAGCTTGACGTTTGCTGTTGAAGATCACGCCGTTTGAATCCTGGAAGCTACGACGTTTAAATCCCGGAGGCTACGCTATTTGAATCCTGGAGGCACTTCAATAGATAACGGCATTGAAGAACGCTTGAAGACTTGAACGCATTTTTGTTGATTTTGCAGGCAATTTGAATCCATTGCAGGGCTGATTACTTCTAAATTCTTGACGCTCGTTGTTGGAAGTCACGCCACTTAGATCCCGGAAGCTACGCACTTAAATCCCGGAGGCACGGGCCACTTAAATCCCGGAGGCTACGCTATTTGAATCCCGGAGGCACTTCCATAGATAACGTCAGTGAAGAATCAGAGGACTAGACAGAGATTTTGTACCTGCATTGAATTATACACACGCTGTACACGGAATTTTGTGAATATATACAAAGTTTACTATTTTGTGTTTACATGCCTAAAGGTATCCCTCAAGCCGATATATAGCTAAAAGACTAATTCTCCGTCCCTACTGTCAGCACACTAAATGGTAGGGGACTAGGCAAATGATTTGCTCTATTCATCTAACATAATACATAATGACATAAACTCTTAACATAATACACATAAACTCTTAACATAATACACATGAACTCTTAACATAATCCACATAAACACACAAAAATAAAACTGTAACAAGATTGAACGGACGGAACGATGTCCGTCGCGCCGTCGCGTCAACTCCACCAATTTATAAAAACAATGTTGTTTTGGGTCAGCGCCTGGTGCAGATATAATTTGCCTCTCATGATGAGCTAGACTCATTAGCTCAATCACTTTGGACTATCAACTGTTACGAGCGAGGATATTATACCGTTGTTATTATTAATGAAATTCACTCTACATTTAATGAGAATTCAATCCAAGTTATTAGCAGATTCATCTCTTCAATCTCTTTATAAAGAAGAAACATATGATTTCTCATTAACTACCATGCCATTTATCTCACTGAAATTATAAGATGATCACATCACTTTTGACAAAAGCAGTCAAAAAAGAAAACCGCACAAGCATGCCATACTAATTAAAAAAAATAACTTATCACATGCATGTATCATTATCATATCATTCATTATTCTATAGTAATTGTTGGTTGTTCTCTTCATTCTTTACTTTGTAAACAGAAACAAAAAATTTTTGGAATAAAATCATATTCATTATTCACTGCAGTGTCATTCATAAAAAGTACATACAAATTAAATCTATTACATGCATCATTATTCAAAAAGAAAAAGAAACAAATTAAACATTGCAAGTAACATAATTTGTTGTGAATTCACCATGATTGGGTGCTGCGAAAAAAAAATGCATAATCCGAGTAGAATGTGTATGTGGTTCATTTAAAGTAAGATTACGGTCTTAGTGAACCTAGGATGTGATTGAGTGGAAAGGGACTCATTAATCCTTAATCAAAGATCAATGGTTCGATCTTTGGCTTTGGGTATGGAGCAACATTAAATCTCCAGGACAGCTGTTCCACCCAATAAAGGTGCATACAATTCAGCGAGAAGATTAGTTACTGTGTTCGACGGCTGGACTACACTAAAAAGTGATTACGGTCTTAGTTTTATAAATAGAAATTGGAATTGAACTATAAGTGCAATGGATTTTTTTTTTTTTTTTTGAATAAAGTTATATCACAATTTGATTCTAAATAAATTGTATTGGTAATCAAATTTATGACAAAAAAATTATAGAAGCCGGTCTAGTTCCTCTACAACAACAAACCACCCCAAGATTAGGCTCTTGCTACTAATATGTAAGCCCACAAAGATTATAGTAATGGGCTTGATATATAAGTTGATAACAAGAAGAGAAATGAGACAAAAATAATTGTCCGTATAAGTTAAATAAATTTGAATTCGATAATAGTAGGGATGGCAATTCAACCCGCCCCTGATGGGTAAAATCGATCCCCGCCCCGACGGGGGCGGGCTCGGGATTTCTTTCGGGGAACGGGGGCGGGGATGGGGGGAATTTCTCAATCCCCGTCGGGGACGGGGACAGGGACAGGGAATACATCCCCCGGCCCGACCCCGACCCCCGATCCCCGCCCCGTCCCCGAATCCCCGTTAACATTATAATATATAATATATGTATACAATTAACAATAAAACTTTAAAATTAAAAATAATTGACTTAAAAAAATGATAAAGTTGAGAAATAGCAGGAAAAAGTTGATATTAACATTTTTTTTTAGCAACACAACACGAAAAAAGGATAAAATGTTTTATTAACAAAAAAAAAAAAAGGATAAAGTTGAGAAATAGCAGGAAAAAAAATGATAAAGTTGATGTTAGCAACACTGTTTTTTTTTTTTTTTTTAATTTATTAACCTTCATTAATCTTGTAAAATGTTTCATACCAGTGTTTTATAATATACTGAGTGTGTGATATTATTTTGGATTTGGACTTTCTTTAAGGGGGATTCAAGGCACAATATGAATTTTTGATAATATTAATTTTTTTTAATAGACATAAATAAAAAATGGGGCGGGGATTCCCCGTCCCCGAAAAATCCCCGCAGGGACGGGGGACGGGGAATAATTCCCCATCCCCGCCGGGGAGCGGGGCGGGGACGGGGAATGGGGAGACATTTCCGGGACGGGGACGGGGAATGGGGAGACATTTCAGGGACGGGGACCCCATTCCCCGCTCCCGCCCTGCCCCGTTGCCATCCCTAGATAATACTAGGCAAATTATTGTGTGGATCAAAACAAAAGTGTATGAAAGGTACATTATACAAAAAAATGTATTATCAGTATTCAAATAATGTATTTTTTATTCATACAATATACATTATTAATACATTAAAAGTACATTATTTATGTAATGAATGTATATTATTTGATAAGATGGTCCACATAACTGTGTGGACCATAAGGATTGATAATACTGATAATATCAGTGAAAATAAGTGGCTTCCCACCTTGAAAAGATTATCAAATATCTTAATTCTTAGTCATTTACCATAAACAAGCAGCAACATTGTCTATGTCTGAAAGTATTCGATCTTCTTATAAACTCATTTACAATAATATATTTTTATTATTAATATAATGTCATAATTATGAAATAGTTAAACATATTATATTCTTGATAATTAAATAATAGATTTTAATAAACTTTGATTGACTTTCATAGAGTCGTTTAAAACTTTTTAAAACTTTATAAGACTCTATAAAAGTCTATATAAAAAACATCCATAGACTTTTATCAACTTTTTATTTTAAAAACTCTACAAAAGTCATTGAAATTCTAAATTGAATACATCCTTACAAACTTTCAATGATTTTGATTCTTATCATTTATATAATTTTCTTACAAAACATTTATAATATGTCATAAAATTTTCTTATTATATAGTTCTTCACCCACATCAACATTATTATTTATCTCCATAGTATGTAGGTTGAGACTTATATGCTAATTACTTATATATATTATTAATAAACATAAAAAAAATTATTTCATTAGAAATTTATAACAATATTGAATAATAAAATTATAATAAAAGAATTGATCAAATAAAATATTTAAAAATATAATTACAAGTTGCATTAAATAAAAAAAATAAAAATTTAATATTTATTATATATATATATATATATATATATATATATATATATATATATATATATATATATATATATATATATATATATATATATATATATATATATATATATATATATATATATATATAATTATACTTGATATATTGCTAGGCACCACGCAAAGAACTATTATTTGCAATAAGAGACTCCGAACAACAAGAAGGCGCTACTGTTTGCAACCCCAAATTGTTGTTGAGAACAATAGTTCGCTATTTGTAGTAACTTGTTAAAAATAGGAAAAATATATATTACGAATATAAACATAAAAAGAATAAAAATCAAAATATATAAGTATTTATATGAATATTATGAAACATATACTAAAATTTGATGATGAAAAATTTGCTTTATTCATGTATTTAGGGAGAATTAGAGAAAGTTAGGGATAAAAAATTCACTGAAAAAATAAAAATCAATATAAACAAGCAATAATGAAGTAAAAATAATATTATTTTCGAATTTTTAGAGGAAGATTGTAAAGTTTAGGAGAGAGAAAAAATTGGTAGAGTTTTAGGTATGAGGAAAATATGGGATAATGAAGAAAAAATTAATTTTATTAAATTTAAATAGGTTTATAAAGTTTAAATAGGGAGAAAAATAGAGTTTAAGTAGAGAGAGAAAATATTCAAAGTTGTTAGAAAGAAAATTTTGAAATCTTGGGGTTGATGGTTGGATTTCAATTATTTATATTTGAGAAGGAAAAGTCTACAAAAGTTAAAATTAAAAAGTCTACAAAAGTTCATAACTTTTTGAATACCACATGACTTTTAGGGGGCGTTTGGTTCAGGTTATATAACATAACCAAGGGAATGTAACATTCCAAAGTTCACATAACAGTGTTTGGTTCATATTATCTTAGGGAATGTAACATTCCCAAGGAATGTCACATTCCTTCCACATAGGATTTTGAAGGGAATGTGATTCCCTTCAAAATCTTAGGTAATGTAAGATAACCTTGGTTATGTTAGTTTATTATATATATATATATATATATATATATATATATATATATATATATATATATATATATATATATATATATATATATATATATATGTAATTATATATTTTTTAATTTTTATTATGTTATGTTAGCATATAAAATAATTTTGTTTCTCAAGTTCAAAATTTTAGAGTTAATATTTTAAAATCATGTAATTATATATGATACCGTTATCTTATTTATTTATTTTAATTTTTAAATTTATTAAAATATATGAAAATATGTTAAGGATATTATAGTGTGTATAAAAGATAACCCTAAACCAAACATGATTATATTACATACCCCAATTTTAACCAAACACAAGAATCTAACATTCCCGGTAATCTAACATTCCCAGCAATCTAACATTCCCTAAGGTAATCTGACATTCCGTGAACCAAACGGCCCCTTAAAGACTCTATAAAAGTCTTAATCAAATACCACACGACTTTTAAAAACTCTTTAAAAATCTTGATTGAATACCGCGTGACTTTTAAAGACTTTCTAAAAGTTTGAATTGAATACCCCCAAACTTTTAAAGTTCATAAAAGTCTTTAAAACTCTATGAAAGTCATGATTGAATACACCCCCTAAGAGCATCCACATTAGTTGGGAAGAATGTGGAGATAATGTAAGAGTGATTAGGAAAGAGAAGGTGGGAGGGGAGAGAAAAAATAAATAAAATAAAACAAAACAGAATAAAAAAAATTAAAAATAAAAAATAAAAAAAGTTATGTCAGGCGCGCCACCTGGCGCGTGCACTGCACGCGCCAGGTTTTGGCCCTGCTGTGCGCGAAACGCGCACAGCATTTCTTCCTTTCACTTTTTCTTTTTCTTTATTTTCTGACATTATTTTGTAATTTGCAGGATGATTATTTCATCTAATAACTCCATCCCACACTAGTGAATAACTCAATCCAAGTTATTTCTTCTGAAATAACTCCACAATCTCCCCTTAGTGTGGATGCTCTAAGTTAAATAATTGTTTGCACTCATTTTAATAATTTTACGAAGTGATACAGTTAAAGTTAATTAAATAAACTTAAATTTTACTGATAAAATGAACTCCCAATATCCTCAATTTCTCACAAAGTCACACTCGAAACTTGTACGTAGACTCTAGAATGAAAAACTTTCTTTGTATTCAATATGATAGATATAAGTGATGAATATAAATATATTCATTTATTTTAATACTATTTACTCCGTTACAATACATTATCTGTTCATAACTATTTTCTCAACTTACTAAAATACAAAGAGTCAATACTCACAACCTCCCACAAGGTCACTGGCTGTAAATATATTCATTATTCATTGTGAAGTTAGTTTGTTGACACTTAATTTAGTTCTTGCCAACTCAAGCTCTGTTTCGCACGTCTAGCTAAAAAGCTAGTTGAAAAGTTAGTATCTAATAAGCTAACTAATTGAAATTAAAGTGTTTGATAAAATTAATTGTTGAATTAGCTAATAAGAGTAAAAAAAAAAAAAAGTATAAAATTATAAATTAAGATATTAAGATTTTGATATGCTACTTGAGGTAGTGTTTAAAAATAAGTTATTATTTTAAGCTCTTCGTGCTTTACCAAACAAAGTTTATAGCTTATTTGTAGTTTAAAATAAGTTCTACCAAACAGAGTCTCAATCAATTCAATGCAAATCTTTGATTAACTCTAGAATTTTAAAATTCTAGAAAAAAAAATACTAAGGGTGCGTTTGGTTCAAACATTGAAATTAATTAAAATAGTAACGCGAATCAAATATTTGGTAATGATAATAGGTTTGGGTAGAAAGAGTCACTTTGTTAGTAATAAATAGGAATTGGAATAACACTCTCACCGCCAAGTAGCTTGTAGCTCAATGACACTTTTGTGGGTCAAAGTACCTATGAGATCCCTATATTATAGTGTTTTGTTCAATTTAGTCCTTGTAATTTAAAAAGTGGTCCAATTAAGGACTATAGTTAACGGTGTTAATATTACTGTTAACTTAGTTTATATGGCGCTGAGATCATCACTACCACATCATGATATTTATATTCCAACTCATATTATTTTATAAATATTTAAAACTAATTATTTTTACAACCAATATATTACATTAATGTCAAAAATAAATAATTACAAGCATGATGACATCAAGTGTTCAAATCTTATTCGGAGCATGGTTGTAATTATTTATTTTAGATATATTAATGTAATATATTAGTGGTAAAAATAATTAATTTTAAATATTTATAAAGTAATATATGAGTTGGAATATAAATATAATGATTTGACTGTGTGATTTCAGTACCATGTAAACTAAGTTAGCTGTAATATTAATACCGTTAACTATTATCTTACTTGCATCACTTTATAAAGTATAGGGACTAAATTGAACAAAATAAAAATATAAAAGCTAAATTGAACAAAACACTATAATACAAGAATCTCATAGGTACTTTGACCCACTTTTGTGATACTCTCAAATGGGAGGTCACAGGTTCGAACCTGGATTAAGGAAAATAAAAAAAAAAAAAAAAAAAAAAAAAAAAAAAAAAAAAAAAAAAAAAAAAAAAAAAACTCTCACCCTGCATGGCAGTCCAGTATATAGCGGTATTATAATTTTTTATTAACACATGTTAAACAGAAAATTATTTGCAAGCACATGGAGTTTAAAGTCTAATTAGGATAATAATTTTGTATTGTCACTTAACGAACTTGTGCTAATTAATTTATAAAATGCATAGAAGAAATATCAGTTTACATAATATGCGATCCTTTTTTAATTGAAAAATAACATTTAAAAAAATGATTTGTCACTTTCTCCACGCAATGTAACAACGACACCACGTATAACGACAATAAGCAAAATTTAATATTGAAAATAAACAAGTCGGTCCATGGATTGTATTATTAGATATCACCACGAAGTCTTCTACAACTATTGTTAGAGAAAAAATAATAATAATAATTGTTGCCGGAATGTAAGACTTAAGCTGAGCTTACGATGAATTAATCACATGTCGTAATTTGATATAATTCTCAAGAAATCAAATGAAAAATGGGCCTTATCTCATGTTGCAACCTATTCTTCAAGATTGTTGTGCTATTATTGTGGCCATCCAAACTAGTTTTTAAAGTATTTTTGGTGGTTGACATCATTTTTCAATTGCAGAATTAGATACTCCCAAATTATAATAATAGTTGTCTACCAAGGAAAGAAATCATAATAAGTGGAAGAAATTTAACCTAGATAAATGAAAAGTCAAAACAATTATAAGAATCTATATAAGAAATCAAAGGCAGAGAGTCGTTATAACTCATAAGGTTGTAGACCCAAAGGGGTAGAAACTATGAATGACAGTATCTAATTTACACATTTAATTTATTAGCTTTTGAAGACGTGAACAATAGAATATATCTAGTATCTAGTCTCTATAAAGCATAATATTTATAAGTTCAAAAATATTAAAGAAATATGCCTCATTCGTTACTTTTTTCTCGTAACGGTTGAATCCTGACAAGGAAATTCATATTTTAACTTGAATCTAATGAATGAAGCAACATGAATTTTTGAGTTCTCTTTGGCTACAAAAGTAGTTAAAAATCAATATATATGACTACAAGTTATATATCTATAAGTTATATAACATTATTTTGATCAAGTTATGTGATTATCTTAATAATTTTAGACTAATACATACTATGGGAGTGTTTAGTGTGTAAATGGTTGTTAGCTGAAAGCTGATAGATGATTAAGTTAGATGATTAGGTAATTAGTTAGTTTGACCAACTAATAGTATTAACTAGTTGTAAAGAAAAGTGTTTGGTAAATTAAATTTTTACTTTTAAGTGATTGAATTGTATGTAAAATGACATATAATGGCATAAGCACATTGTTAATTTCTTAACTCTTAAATTACTTTTATAATTTTTTTTTTATTTATTTACTATTATTATTGTTGTTGTTATTGTTATTATTATTGTTGTTGTTGTTATTGGTATTGTTGTTGTTGTTGTTGTGGTTGTTATTGTTGTTTTTGTTGTTTCAAGGATGAATGAAATAAAAACATTATTATAGTTGTTAGTTGTTACGGAAATAGAAAGAAAAAGGGGCAAAGTAGATGGACAACAAAAAGAGATATATAAATGTTAGGGATGCCAATGATAAAATTGTTATTTCATAATTAAGGCCAATCAACTAACTAAAAAGAATTAATTTCACTTTTGGTCCCACGACTTTTGATGTTCTATCACTTTTGGTGCACAACTTTAAATTTTTTTAATTTTGGTGTCTAACTTTGTTATTTTTATCAATTTTGGTCCTTTCGGCCAAATTGACAGTGAAATGTTGTTGGATTTTATATTGTTAGGGGTAAAATCGTCATCCCAAGGAAACATCTTCAATATCTAAACAAAATCACCGTAAAATCATATCTATAGGTGTTTGATGATGAGAATAATGGGGAAGATGGGCAGAAACCAGACAGATCTATGGGATTTATAGTTTCGACCATTGGCAAACTCTTCTTTTCCTCTTAATATGATTTTTCTTTTGTTTAAATATTGAAGATCTTTCCATGGGATGACGATTTTGCCCCTAAAATATAAAATCTGAAAATATTTTACCGTCAATTTGGCTAGAAGGACCTAAACTGATAAAAATAACAAAGTTAGGCACCAAAATTGAAAAAATTTAAAGTTGTGCACCAAAAGTGATAAGAACTTAAAAGTCGTGGGACCAAAAGTGAAATTAATTCAACTAAAAACACTACTGTTCTTAGTTTTTCGGATTTTGGTTTATTGCCTCAACACATTAATGCAATAAATCATTTTATGAATTACAATTTATTTCCTCCCTAATTCATTCCTTTCAACCAAACACCTTGTTGGTAATTTATTGACCGGTCAAACCAACCAACTTTGACTTATCAGTCATTTACAAAACACCGCCTATATCATATTTGAGACAATGTTAAAGATAATGTGAGTCCATTATCTTAAGTATTCTTACATTATTTTTAATATTCTAACTTTCCCTTGATCAATTACCCCTTATACATACATACCAAAAAAAAAAAAAAAAAAAAAAAAAAAGTTCAAATGAGCCACTGAACGTAACCTGAAAATGCAATTAGACTACTGAACCAAAAAAAAAAAAAAAAAAAAAAAACAATTAGGCCACTGAACACTCGAAATGTATGCAATTTCACCTGATAGTAGGTTAACATCAATTTTAGCAGGTTACTTGCTTACATGGCAGCTGAGTTGGCATTTTTAATAAATTTTAATAATAATTAAAAAAAAAAACGACGGGGTGGCCGCCAACCTCCCCCTTCTACCTTCGTCTCCGCGCCTGAGACGAAGGAGGGGCAGGCCACCCCTCGTTTCATTTATTTATTTATTTTCTTTTCAAATTTTTAAAATTTTTTATTAAAAATTATTAAAAAGTCAACTCAGCTGTCACGTAAGTAGGTAACCTGCTAAAATTGATGATAACCTGCTATCCGGTGAAATTGCATACATTTGGAGAGTTCAGTGGCCTAATTGCACGTTTTTAGAGTGTTGAGTGACCTAATTGCATTTTTTTTGTTCACTGGCCTGATTACATTTTCAGGTTGCGTTCAATGGTCAATTTGAACCTTATTGACAATAACAACAATAATAAATATTAAGCACACTTAAATAAATTATGCAACATAATTCAAAATAAAACACTAATTAAACATGTTAATGTTACATCATCATAATTCCAACTAAAAAACACATAAGGCAGTTTTACATCTCGTAATCTCACATTCTCTTAAAAAATGTAATGCTATTATTTAAAGATAATTTCACATTCTAAAGACTGTCTTGTACTCTTGTAATACTAACAAGAATCATGGTACCAAAACTAATAATATTTGTCACACAATTGATTATATATATACCGTAAACTCGTTACTCACGATCTGACGAAACCAAATTATCTATCACTATTAATCCTGTTTGCATATAGACTAGATGTATAAATTCGAGTTCATGGCAAATTATGATGTGGAACCGTGTTCACCTTGCAAGGTGGACACGGTTCATAATTACGAATATATAATTCAAAAATTATGAACATATAATTCTATATTTTACACGGAGTATGTAATAATCCGTAAACTCCAATTCTCTCGTACGTTAGTTAAGTCACTTATTGCAACAAATATTGACCAATCAATTGGATTTAAATCATATTACTCCTTCCAGATACGTACCACACTATATCACAATGCCTTTGATTGATAAATAAGCAAAAAACTTTAAAAGTTTTGATCGGATTGACTTGGTCGAATTGTTCAAAGGGAAAATGGCACTTTCCCCCCCGAGTTATATACCTATAGTATTTTTTCCCCCTAAATTATTGAAGTGGCTGTTTTTTCCTCTGAAATGTTAAATGGACATATTTACCCTTAAACTAAATATTTAATTTATTTTTTTTCCAACAAATTATGACCATAATTTAGTTCAAACTAAACAAACACTATAGCAACCAAACCGAAATATTCCAATTACAATTTAGAATCGAAATTTGATATTTAGAGTTTATTAAAATCGTGAACCGGAACGGACGGTTCATGTTCCGAACTGAAAAAATAAAATACATTTATTGTTGAATTTAGACTATTGTAAAATAAAAAATAAAATTTTAAAATAAAGACGGTTCAAAATCGCGAATCAGATTCGGAACCGCCGGTTCACGGTTCAAGATTCAATTTTTTTGATACATAATTTTAATAAATTGACATTTAAATATTGGGTTCTAGATCTGAATTATAATCGTAAACTATTAATTCGATTGCTTTAGTATGCGGTTCAATTCAAACCGAACCGTGGTCATCCCTACGTATACGTAATAATTTGTTGGAGTAATAAAATAAATAAAATGTTTACTTTAAGGGTATAAATGTCAATTTAATATATCATGGGGAAAAGACACCACTTTTAGAATAATTGAGGGGGAAAAAATGCTATAAGTATATAACTCAGGGGTAAAAAGTGTCATTTTCTCTTGTTCAAATAAATGTTTATTGTGATTAAAATTAATTGTGAAATAAAGACGTTTGCAAAATCCAAAAAGAAAACACCAAGACTCGAGTAACATCACAAAACCTAGATTACGTTTCCCTTGGGAAAAAATCGAAATAAAATCACTCCGTAATTAAGTAGTACAACGTCAAAATCAAACGTACCTCCTAGTAAATGCGGCATAATTAATCATCAAATCAAATCCTTAATTTAAAATTCAAAAGAAAAATAGCAGTTAAAGATCTTTTAAATCAAACGGTAAAAATCATATCGTTTCGGAAAATCCATTCACACTGCCACCCACCATATCTTCGGAAAAGACCATTATCCCCCCGAATCTTTTTCTACTCATAGCGTATTGACTGGAGGGCATAGTTGGCATTAGAAAACAGTAGTTGAAACGTCAAAGTCAAACCTGAGAAAAATCACACCCGAACAAAGGGATAAATAAAAATACGAAAACATAGTATACCGCATATATATTACAGGGCGGCTCTGCCCATTTCTTCATCTCACTTCATCTCTTTCCTTCCTCTTTCCTCTTTCTCTCTCTATATATGTGTCTATATATATATATAAATAATACATTTTCCAAGTTGCTGAAAAGCCTTGAGTTTCTTTCTGTGTTTTGAGAGAGAAATAGTGATTTGTGTTGCAGAAGTGGAGATGGAAGTGATGATAACATCGCCGGCGCCGGAGTTTAATTTCGACAGTGCGTGTACTACGCCTTATATGAGTGCGCCTTCGAGTCCACAGCGTTTTGGGAACTTCTTTTATAGCGCCCCCGCCAGCCCCACCAGGGTTTCCGCCCTGGCCTCCGGTGGAGTTCCGTTTGATTGGGAAGAGGAGCCCGGAATTGCGAAGCCCAAAGAGGACAGCGATGATGATTATGACGAGTTCGCTTTTGATTTTAGTGGGCAGTTGGAAAAATCCTCTTTTTCTGCGGCGGATGAGCTGTTCGACGGCGGCAAGATTAAGCCGTTGAAGCCGCCGCCGAGGTTGCAGTACGAGGGGAAACCGCCGGACTCTCCGCGATCGCCGAAGCAAAGGATTAAGGAGGCATTATCGCCGCGCCACCGGAGGAAGGAGTTTGACCCGTTCTCCGCCGCACTTGAACAGAGCCGGAAGGACGACAACGATTCATCAAATCAACGGCGAGGAAGAGAGAGAAACACTGATCCGACGGCCGCCCGTTCCAACTCCCGGCACAAAGGAACAAGATCTCTCTCCCCTTTCCGCATATCCGATTTGTTACTGGATCGCGACGAAACCAGTCAAGAAAACACGTGTTCTTCTTCTTCTTCATCGTCGTCGTCGTCGGCGGCGGTGTCTTCCTTCATTTCCATGTGGTACCGGAAATGGAAGCTGAAAGATCTTTTACTATTCCGAAGCGCGTCGGAGGGGCGAGCGAGCAGTAAAGAGCTGATGAACAAATACGCAATGCTGAAAAAGAGCCATCATCAAGACGACGTGAAGAATTCGAGTTTCCGGTCGACGGAAAGCGCGGGATCGACGTCGAGGAGAAGAGGGCCAGTCTCAGCTCACGAGCTGCACTACACGGTGAACCGGGCGGCGTCGGAGGAGATGAAACGGAAGACTTTCTTGCCGTACAAACAGGGACTATTGGGCTGCCTGGGATTCCATCCGCCGGTGCCGGAAATTTCTAAAGGCCTCGCTTCCATGTCTATGCCCCGTAGCCGTCAGCAATGAAACGATCTCTCAAACCTTTTTTTTTTTTTTTTGGGTGTTTTACGTGCACTTTGATTCCAAAATTTCTTTGGTATTGTTCGTACAAATCACATAGAAATAGTTAAATGATTATTATTATTATTATTATTGAAAAAGTCGTATGGGTTTTAAATGTTTCACATTTAATCCTATGTACGCAGCCGGCAGGCTGGTCGGGTTCATATTTATATTCTTTGAATAAAGATCCATATATCTATAAACTTTATACGTCCACTTCTGTGGCATTTTATTATAAACCTACCATTATTAATGATTAGTATGAAGTCTTCTTCTTCCAAATATTCTCTACTGAATTATTGAGCTAGTTTATGCGAGCTAGTATGAAGTATTAAGATTTGCAATGAACGTGTCTTTTGAAAATGAAAAAATAAATTGCAATATAAACAAGTTATTATTAATACAATTATAAAATTATGAACTATATAGGTCAAATCCAAATTAGTTTTGTAATAGTATCATTAGTATAATTAAATATTAAATTATATAATAATAATAATAATATACTTTTTTCCTTAATCAATTAGAATATGTTAGTTACATTAGTCCGGTGTAAAAAATGGAGCACATGAAAAATTACACTTTCAAGAAAAATATTACGGAGTATTTCTACTTTCGAAGTATATATTTTTATCACATATATTATACTGATTGGTCAAAAATATATATACTAAAAAACTAAAAATACTTATAATAGAGAATTAATGTTTAATTCACTTTTTAAAAACTAATATTGTATTAGTAACACTGGAGCTTTTTATACAACTAAAAGTTAATATAATATCAGTCTGCTAAGATTGAAATCAAATGAGAATTACTCCCTTTTTTTTTTTTTTTGGGTGAGGAGAATTACTCCCATTGAGAATGTGATAACTAATCTCATTTGTCCAACTAAGATGGGTAATGATTAAAAATTCTTTTAAAGAAAAAGTGGTGACATTTTTATAATTAAAATTGTGTTGTGTAGTTAAGAATACTTGACTGTGCATTTGAAAAATAATTAATAGTGAATCGGAAATTAAACAAGTTTTAGAATGCACGATAATTTATTCACAAACGTACAATCAAGCATTATAAGGTGCGCAATCATAATTATAAAAATGTTCTCGCATTTTTTTAAAAAATACTTTACAGTGCGCTTAAAGAATGTTTTCATATGCACAATCAGTTATTCGCGGATGCTCAATAGGTAGTTAGCAGTTCTTACATGCAGGATTATTCTCATGTGATCATGTCTAGCTGTAGTCTACTAATAGGTGACATGAAATTAATAACACATTATATTTTATTTAATGAAAATAATTAGCATAAGATTATGATGCATTATGCATATATATTCAAAATAAAAAGTGAAAGACAAACGTAACGCAAAAACACTTTATCTCAAAAATCGAATTAGATGTGAAAATCTTGCATGCCGACCGAAAGCGATACAAAGAGGTGTCATTTTTCTTAAAATCAGAACCTGAGATGCAAACGTGGCCAACAATGCCATTCCCATTCAGAATTTTGGCAGCTAACTTACAAAACATATAAGGAACATCATCATCATATAAATACATTTTAACTTTGCAATTTTCCAAAACGACATACTATACGTTCCATAATCTTAGCATATATATACGTATTACAGTACATGCATGCAATATATGAACGTAAATAATTAATAACCTTATTTATATTATAGATGGATGAAAAAAGTGTAAGTGTAGTCCCATCCTCTCAACTGCTATATCCATCATGTATGTATAATAGAGTGTAGCTAGCTAGCATGGTCGTCATTGTATAAACTCGTACGTACAATAATGGAGAGTAGTTAAAAGGAAAAGTAGAGATCAGCTTAGCTAGCTAGAAGAAGATAGGGGGGGCCTCTGTTGTCTACAAAAGTGAATTGAATGAAATTAATTATTATTTTCCTTCTATGCAAATATACATTAATAATCAATATAATTGTTATACCATGGACCAAGGTCCACCTTGCAAGAATGGATCCGCATCTAAAATACACAATTTACATACTAAAATAATCGCAATTTACCTACTGAATGTTCACAATTTATCTTTTACAAAATTGTGAGCATTTAGTAGGTAAATTGTGAACATTCAGTATATAAATTGTGTATTTTAAACTCGAGTCTACCTTGTAAGGTGGACTCGGATCCACTGAATAATTTTGTCGAATAATTATAAATTTATGAAGGTTCAGTTATTATAATTACAAGGGTTGGTTTTATGGGGATACCTAGAATGAACTCAAAAATAACATATGGAGTAATTAGTTTTTATTTTATGACCCTTAATTAGCTTTATGTCCATTCATATATAGGAGGATATATAATGACCCTTATGAAGATTTTTGTTTCCATTTAATTTATAATAGCTAGCAATAATTGTTTTGGATCATCATTGTTGTTAGAAATATCAAGCCTATTAGGCAGGTGAACCTAAACCATCAAATAAGTGAAAGATTAAGAGCATGAGGCATCTACAAACTATATATACAAATGTGTATGTATGTGTGTGTAGCGGGGGGGTTCGTTTCTAATTAAAACTTTTAAGGACAAGTGTTTTCGTATTTCGTAACATGTTTTTACATTAGAAACTTTTCATAAATAATATAATTAAATTACTTAAAACATTTCAGAAGTGGTTCCTTAGCTAGTTATCAAAAAAAAAAAAAAAAATCAATGTGCATTTATTAAAAGGAAATGTGTTTCAAGACGCATTTCAATATAAGGTGTCTAGTAAAAAAATTTGGTCAAAACAAGCTTTCAAGTGGATTCTTAAGCATATTTAAGGTAAAATTTTAACAAATATACCCTAATATTTGTGTGTATTAAAATTCATCGTTTCCATTTCCATAATACCTAATATGCATATTACCAACATTAATGAAAACCCTAGCCAAGATGGTTAATGATATAAACTTGTAATCACAATGTCATCACGAGTTCAAATCTCAACCTTCTTAATTTGAATCAGTCAGTTATAAGTTATTTCATTGTGGTCATTTGTCAGTTAGAATCACAAGGCCAGATTTATTTCATACACACTCACACCCTTGAATAGTAGCTGCGAGTTTCGCTTATTATCACTCTAAAAATGAAAAACCATAACATGTTAGTTGCTATTAGTCAAGTCACGTATTTATGGAATATATATATAAATATAAATAATGCATAAAAATAGTCCACATGCATGGGGCCTGGGAACCTAAGAAGAATTAAGAGAAGAGGAAATGTGATGATTAAAAAGAAATAAAATAATAAAGAAAGAGTGGGATGATAATTGGATAGTTAATCGTGTAGGGCAAAGAAGAGACGACCCACCCAACTGCTGGAAAAAAACCCACCTTTACAGAAAGCCTCCATCGCCGGAAACCCACATGACATCAATGTATCCATCCCTCCATCTACTTAATTAAGTACTTCTTCTAATACTTTCTTAATCACACTTAGTTAATTTGGTTGTACTTTACAACATTAAAATACACAAAACAAAAATAAATACTAAATAAGATCTGATACACCTGTCAGCAGGATGCAGAAGATAGAGAGAGCATATTCTTGTGTGTAAATATATATACGTATAAATCATCGTGGTAACTCAACTGAACATATTAGACATTTATTTATTGCCTATAAGAAGCCTTCTCACTTTAAAATGTTGTTCCTACACTACTGCTAATAAAATTCAATTAGAATCATTATTTACAAATTTTATTCATATGATCAACTGAACTGTTCATGCGTACTTGATATAAGAAGTCATATATAATATATGCAGGAGGCAGGAGGTGGGCGTCATCATTTTACAGCCCTCAATCCAAAAAGTTGCTTCCTTTTATTACGGTATCATCGTCCTTACACTTCGCTCATTTAATAATGATGTCGGCGGTTCTTTTGTTACATAACTTAGTTCTCTAATTGGTTTTACTTAGTTGCTGTTTTTATAGGTGTACTTATTTCATTTTAAATATATGAACAGAAAAGGAAGGTAGGATCATTCAATTTAAAGATAATTCAACAATTTTTTCAAATGCATTGCTAGGGGATAGCTACAAATTTGGAATTTTTTTACCACCCAAAAGTAGTTAGAAATATATAACTTCTTGTCTAAAATAATGGTTTCAAGCAATTTGAGAAACTGAAAAATTATATTGTTCATCGCTACCAGTACTAGTCATATGTCGAAAATGATAAAAGAAAAAATACCAATCACCATAAAAAGGTAATTCGAAAATTTGAACAATTAGCAGAGTGGTGAATGTAAGTTAAATTTCAAGTCTTTATAAATTTAATATATGTAAGAATTTTACATTTGATATTAGAACCAAATTTATATAGGGATATATAACATAATTAAAAATATATCCGAATCAATAACCTATTAATTAAGTTCACCTAAATTTTTGTTTAGATTATATTAATATTTTTGAGCTAATATTTAGAAATTTTTTTAGAATATCTTTTGATTATTCATTTGACAGAAACATATATATAATTTTTATTTGAAGTCCAATATATAAGAAATTTTAATATCTAATAACCGAACCAAACTTATATTAGAATATAACATATCTAAAAATATATAAACCAATAATATATTGAGTTCAATAAGAATCTAAAACTTGGTTTAGATTTCAAGTTTTAATTGTGATAATGTGAATAATATATAACTGTAAGCGTAAGCAAATAAATTATGTTTATATTAGTATGTAATGCAAGTAGAAAAGATAGAAGATTGTAATAAGTAAAAAAAAATGATAATGAATGTACTCATAGTAATGGACAAATATGTAAGTAGATAATGGTGAGAATGTAGTTGTAGTGATATATTACCATATAAATGATAAAGATTTTGTTTTTCATATAGAAACAAGAAAAAAAAAATTCTCCAGTTTTCTAAAAACGGAAAAATTTATATTTTTTGTTTTCTATTCTTCAATTTTTTATAAAAATGGAAAAAAATTTCAATTAATAAATGAGCCCCAAAAGTCTAAAATTCGAAATTTTTTGTTGGTAGCAAAAACCTAGCTTTATCTACCATTTTTGTATTAAAAA